TAGTTAGATGTAAGTTAATTATCTAATTACTCTACAGCACTCCAGCTTATTTTTGGATCTCTTGAATAACTGAATATTACACAAATTAAACACAGCCTTTGTATATTTGTTATTTTCTCTTATAAATGTTTAATAATAGAATGGTCTTTTAAATCAAATGTACAGTTTGGAAGTGGGTTTTTACGTTGGGTTTTATCCCTTTTTAAAGCTGCTCAAAAAGTTCCAAAGCGCTCACGGTCCCCGCACACTAACAATAGACGTTTCTACATAACAAAAATCGTAACGAATTTTATCGTTATGCATTCGAGGAAGTGTACGTCGTCCTGTCGTGAACGCTGCGAGTATTACCGGCGCATTCGTTCATTCTGTAATATTATACAGTTGCTTTTTCAACATGACAGCGGCGGCCGAATTACAAAAAATGAACCTATCATGTTAGTTACTCTAATTGATTATCTGAACAAAATGCCTGTCGTAAATCTCAGATAACCGGATTCCTGATGGTGCGAATCGATTTTATTCCACAAAATATTGGTTCCACAAAACTTTGGTTAGGTTAATATGGATTAAATAAAAATTGATGAATGAAAAATACCCGTTTAAAGAAAGGATTCACAATTTTAACGAATCTCGCTGCAACAATCCAACAGTTTTGTTTTTGTTGCGGCGTATTTTGAGTAGTGTTCAATATCGTAGTCATTTAGAAGGAACGATAAATTGGCAGTCAAAATGACTCTCACGATAAAAGATTAACTTATAAAAACGAGCAATTTTCGATGGTGCAATATACCCATATTGTGCCAGTATCTTTCTGCTACAAGTCATTCATTCCAGTTTGAAAACTATGACAGAATGTCCGAATGTAGGTATCCACAATGAGATAAGCATTTGTGTCTGTGACATCTTACCACCGTGTAGGTCCTGAGCTCGTCAACACATACAGTGCAAAAAAAAATTATTTGCTCCCAGTCTTTTCACTTCTTTTGGGCGGTCGTACTTCACAGTCTTTCGATGCTGTAATATTTTTCATTAGAGGTTTGGAACGTCTTTGGTAACTCTAGCTCTGACCTCGTGAACTTTTAAGCGAAGGCTGGTGGCAGATGGATGTTGTTCATTTTTATATTAAGCAGTCAGCAGTCTAGCGGAATACGTTTACATGCACGTTACGATACATTTCACACAATGGATCACTCACGGATCGTTTGGAACCTCTGGATCTGCGGAGGGACCTCGGTTCCCTCTGTTTTTTGTACCGTATGTTCCATGAGGAGTGCTCTGAGGAATCGTTCGAGATGATACCGTCATCTCGTTTTTCCCATCGCACCGCTCGCCACCGGAGTAGAGTTCATCCATACTAGCTGGAGCCACTGCGGTCATCCACAGTGCGTTTCCAAGTCTTTTTTGCCGGCCATACCATCCGGCTATGGAATGAGCTCCCCTCCACGGTGTATCCCGAACGCTATGACATGTCCTTCTTCAAACGAGGCATATGGAGAGTACTAAGCGGTAGGCAGCGGCTTGGCTCTGGCCCTGGCACTGAAGTCCATGGGCGACGATAACCACTCACCATAAGGTGGGCCGTATGCTCGTCAGCCTACAAGGGCCATAAAAAAAAAGCAAGTCCGCACGAAACGAAAGAAAAATGACCAAGTCATGGTGACCATAATACTTAATATTTGTTCATAATTTATTCGGTCTAATTTCGCTAATTACTGTTGATAAACGTTTTTATCGCGTATTTCAAGGTTTAGATGTTTCATATAAATGATAATAAATCAAAAACGTATACAGTGGAGATACACATATTTATTAAATTCAGATTCAAACATACATTTGGAGTACAAAATTCGGAGGAAATCCACACCTTGAAGATTATATTTCGGTACAGGATTTTTTCACGTTTATTTATGTTATAATGCAATAACGTTGCAATATTATACCTTCCGTATATAATTTTATTGCAACTACTCAAATGCTATTTAATTAATTATACAATAAAGACATTCAGAAATAAATATAATATAAATAATTTATCGCGAATAATCTATAACAATTTTGAAGGAATACGACTGAAATATAAATAATCGTACATTAATAATACTAGATAAAGGGAATGCATAAGTGCAAAGATAATAAATAACGTGATAATAAACACAGGAAGCTTTGAGCTATTCGTGCTGTATTAAACAAGGAAACCTTTATAAAAAAAAAACTATGATTTGTTTATTTTTAGGTCTGACCTTTTGACAATCTCTTAATTTGACGTTTACGTCGTGTTTTTTTTTTTTTAATTGATACCCCGTATGCTCAATACCGTAACGTTATTTTGTAGAATTATATCATTAGTCATAGTGAAAAAAGGTATTATATTAATTAAAATACAAAATATAAATGTATTAATCAACTTGAAAATTGTGCTTACGGTTACAAAGTTTTAACTGTGTACAAAATGATCAGACCTTAATACTGACTAAAATATAAATTAAGACATCTTGTTGAAGTCACACTTTTAAAAACATATTATATTCGATATAAATAAGAACATCACTAACCCAGTAGACATGTTTTCAAAATATTTTCACAGTTTGATTTGCTATTCGTTTTACAATTTTCGATTACTTTATTATTTTCGAGGTAATTTTTACGAGGTTTTACTGTTTATCGAAATTCGTAAGTGTTGTATTTATAAAATCGATTTACGCACATATAAAAATGCCTCATTACAACCTTATAACGGAATTCGGCCCAAACGTGCCCAATTACTATAAACAACATAGTTAATCCGATTATGAACTGAATTCTCTTCATACAATTTTTTCCGCCCTAGGTCATTCGTTTGATGACATTAATTGCATCAAGAATTATCTATGCGAGTTTTTAGCCAATATGACCAAGGAATTTTCGTCATTTTAAAAACATCTTGTCAGAATTTCAGCCTTGGCAGTCCAACAATTTTGTTTTGGACGTTCTTGTAGTTGTCACTATGCTAATGGCCTTTTAACCGTTCTCGTCGTGAACTCGTTGACAGTCGAATAATATCGATTTTTCATTCGATTAAAAACAGTACCACTTAGAAATTATTTGATTTACCTCTCTAAGAAAATCACATGTTGGCCAACAAGAATGTGATGTATTAAGAACTACGTTCCGATTTTTTTCACAACGAATTTAAATAAAAAGTATTTTTTTAAACAGGTACTTTAAATACATCGACTTATCAATCTAGCAACAATGTAAACATTGTAATAAATATTAATAGTATTGTATATTACTGATACAGACAGGACAGTATGAATTACAAATGTACGTTGTATTAGTGATTATGCTAAACAAGTAATAATACTGTCCTTCCTTTTTGAATATTATTTTATTTATCATTTAGGAATCGAAAGCTTGTTAAACATAAAATCAGTACATAATATGGAGATATACGACAAAGGGAAGATCTTCCACCGAGCGGGTGATATTTGCTCGGTAGACCGACGGTCCGAATGTTGTTGTTCGGAACTTGTATATATGCGCTTTATCTTGAAAATGTCGTAAGCGAGATTCAGGCATCTGTCAATTATCTTGCGTTGTATGATGGCTACCCGCCACATCACTCCCCTCCGAGACTGGAGGTCGTGTCATATTTAGTTATCGTTGTCCGTGCTGAGATTAGCTTGCAAGGGCCAGTGCTGCTCGAAGCCTGCGGTGAGTCGAGGCTGAGCTTGAATGCTGCGTGCGTGTCGCCAGTGCTGCTCGAAGTCTGCGGTGAGTCGAGACTGAGCTTGAATGCTGCGTGCGTGTCGCCAGTAGTCCATGTGTGCAGAGCTGCCACGCCGGAGATGTGTGACCCCAAGCGTTGATGATCCGGTCGTGGGCTGCGATGAACTGTTGCGGCGTGATGAGGCAGTGAAGTTGCGTGCCGTAGGACCAGGAAGCGCGGTGAGTCGGCTGCGATGGTCCTGTTGAGGCTGCGATGCTGGCTTGCTATGGGACGACTGTCAATGACGTGCTTTTATCTGCGAGAATGCGGGGATTGTGGTAGCCGGAGTTCTTGATGCGCTGAAGATGAATCAGAAGGTTGCGTGTTCACATCACGTCGGGGTCACCAGTTTATGGAGATATACGACAAAGGGAAGATCTTCCACCGAGCGGGTGATATTTGCTCGGTAGACCGACGGTCCGAATGTTGTTGTTCGGAACTTGTATATATGCGCTTTATCTTGAAAATGTCGTAAGCGAGATTCAGGCATCTGTCAATTATCTTGCGTTGTATGATGGCTACCCGCCACACATAACATATGAAAAATATTTAATAAATATGTGAAAAACTTAAGAAAAACGATGCAGGAGTGCACTCAGGCGAAGACCGAAACTATAAAAATAAACCTATGAAATTATATATAAATCGATGCTAACACGTTGAATATAAAAATTGCCGCAAAAATGTAGAGTGAGTATTAATTTATTACAAGATCAAACCGGAAACGTAAGTGACACTTTCGCTCCTGTGACTAAGTTCAGAAACCAAGCTTTCGATAATTACGTGATAAAAAATGTATTATGCATTATTATTTAAATCTATTTGTCACGTTTTGTACTTGGCGTATTATTAAATAAATAACATTTATTACTAATCAATTAATGTCATGTTCAAATATTATGCATGGTTTTGGACAACTACAACATAAAATATATTTTACTAAGCAACTTTACTGTGATTCAGTTTATATTCGATTCAAATATTATCCGCCCTAAAGAGAAAAATGCAATCCGAGATTCAATAGAGAAGAAATATTACGTTGGTTGTAAACAATTTTTTTTTAGAATGATCGATCATTTAAATAAATAGATTAAAACAGTCCAAAAATTCCTAAACTGAAAAAAAAAATCCGCCCTAAAAAAAAAATTATACGACAGCATCAACACAACATAATATATTGAATAATTATACTGATAAATGGAAAACTAATTAAGTATTGTTATTAATTTTGATTTATGATTAAATATAGTAATACTTTGAAGTCAAGGAAATGCTATCACAGAGTTAAGATTTTCTTGCTAATTAATTATTGTTTACACTTTAAGATTGTTAAGACTCAGTAAATGCGTAGTTGGTATTGCCGCTTAGACCACCAAGGATTAGGTAAAAAAAAAAAGTTGAAACCATAGATAAATTAACGACACAGTAGCGTCATCTGTTGGATAAACTTGATGACGAATTTAATTTGTTTTTGACTAATTTTAACACATTTTGAATTAATACACATAATATGTTTACACCAATGTGTGCGTTTATAAATGTTCTATAATTATTTTCAAGTCTCGTTTTCGTTGAATGGAAAACCAATAATTACACAGGTCTGTTAATATTATTAATGTTGTGTTATTAACTGTGAGTTTGATGAATATAATTTGATCTTTGAATTGGCAGCGAAGACAATTACAACGTTACATATCGCGAAGTATAAAACAGTAATTATTTTTAAATAAATTAGCTCCATTCGTTCTAATTGGGTCAACCTACAAAAAAATTACTTCCCAAAAGGACTATTCGAGAATCAGTCTTGCAAAACTAAGGAATGAATGTAAATGAGGTACGGGTTGTTGCTATTAGAAATATATATAAGTTCTAAGACTTCACTTAAATATATAAAACACAGTATAAAATCTCAAAGGTTACTTAATTTTTCCGATACAATGGAAACGATATATTATATTAGTATAATAACATTAATAACAGGTATAAGAAATATTGTAATCAGTCAGGTATAAACTAATATCAACAAACTATTTTAATAATTATTATTATTATAAATCTTGTACTTTTATTGAAGAAGCTTCGTAGTAATAATATCACTTTGATTAAAATATCGAATTACAATAATAATTTATCAGTGTCTATGGAGATTCAAGTTATTAAGTAAAATAGGTTCTGATACATTCAGAACATTACATGTGTGAGTTTACAAAACAAGAAACATACATTATAAAAACCAAATCGACAAAATTGAATAATATTTCCAAAATTACATCGCGAATCATTATTAAGTATTATTTATAATTAATAACATGCTGTTGAATAGTAAATATTAGAAATATATGACAATAGAGAAAGAGTCAATTACTAATAAATTCGAATTGAAACAAATTTACATTAATTAATAAAGATACACCATTTTGCTTTAAGCAATGGTGATTCTGATAAATAAAATAACGCGAAGCTAATTAAATAATATTTTAGATTACAACTCTTTACTTTCAATGTAATCGGTTTCCGTAGCAAGTTTGGAAGCATCTTATACCACTGAACACATAGACATTGTGGAATTGCCTTTATATGATAGTAATATTGCATCATTAGTTTAGAATTTCCTCACCAATAACGAGCAGGAACTGAGATCGGCTTTTAGTTTGGCCAGTTCCGAGAGGCATATAGAACGTCGAGCAAAATCAATTTTCTCACAGAACACCTGAAATAATTACGTATTTATTACTCATTTTATTATAATTATATTTTCTTCATAGGCTGGTATGGTGAGTGAACGCTCACACGACAGCACGTTAGAAGAAAAACCCATATTTCTATTCGAAAAAATTCGCTAGAATGTTTTGCGAAATTGGAAACACACTACTTTGGAGTAACTGGAAATGTGCGAGACATTTTCACGCATTATTAATAAAGCGATTACAGTTTAAAATTAGCAAGAACAATTTGAATTTTAAAGTATAATATTATATACTTATGATTTATAATACTTATAATTTTACTGGTGGTAGGACCTCTTGTGCATGCGTTTCGGTCTGAAGAGTAGGGCAGCCATTGTAACTTTACTGAGATCTTAGAACTTATATCTCAAGGTGGGTGACGCATTTACGTTGTAGATGTCTATGGGCTTCAGTAACCACTTAACACTAGGTGGGCTGTGAGGTCGTCCATCCATAGAAGCAATAAAAAATAAATAAAAAATATTTCTACAATGTTCAAGTTTTCTGAATTATACATGCACTACTACAAGCACCTTTTACAGTATATTTGTGGAGATACGATTACCAACAAAGAGTGGGGTTCTTGTAAGGGTATTTTCGAATATATCTTTACCTTGAACGCTTCAGGGATCTCCTCAATGGCCCTGTGCACGAGCGTTCCGTTAACGTAAAGACAGTTTGCAGCCTCGTCTTCTGGGACTGACAGTGTTTGATACGAAAAATTAGCCTCCCGTTCCATTCTCTTCAGCAGCTCTTTTGCTTCCTGGCTCGCGCCCACGCAAAGCACGTCATCGCCGGCAACGGTTATATACTTTTTGAGATGTTCAGCTCCTTTGGACATCTGAAAATTTATTAGTACACTTTTATAGTGCACTGAAACATCTAACATTTATGTAAAAAAAATAAACATGGCGCGTAACGGAAGAAATTAAGATGACGCGTAACCGAAAAACGTTACATACGTTTTTTCCTCACTACGTCGACAAAGAAGTTTCACTTCAAAAAAAAACTAGTCTACATTACATTAATTTTTTAATGTTAATAAAAATGGCTTTAGACATTTATAAAGTAAGTACTTACATTTTGAACTACATCGAACAAAATAGGAGAGTGAAACATAAAACAAAGAATACGTCTTGAATATGGCTTGACGCCGAGTATTGTTATCAAAACGGACATGATTTGCATTAAAGATGTCAATTATAACCTATACTTTTTATACATAGGTGACATATGAAATGCAGAATTCCGGTCACCTGTATTCTCTTAAATTTAGCAACCACGCAAAGAATACATGTAATAAGTCGAACTATTATCACATGTAAAATTATAAAATTTAATAGGCAATTTCCATAAGCTGTTATTTTAAATTTCTATATTTACCTTTATCGGAGTACATGGAAACTCGGGAAATGTTTCGGCCAGCAAACTAGCTCCAGCCTCATTGGTAGTTTTACAAATACCCACAAAAAATTCTCGACCTTAGAATAACATTAAAAGGAATTAAAAAAAATCTTATACATTGCGTAATATTACACATACAAGTACACGTTGTACTACTTTTTGTACAATAATTATGAAATCTCTTTTTTCTGTAGATGGTCAGATTCGGAGTCTCTTTAAATCTTTATAGGTTAATTTAAAGAATAGCTCTTTCATATTACAAGATCAATTTTCGTGCTGGCGTACTAACCAGTGAAAAGGACATCTGATCCACAAATGACCGCATCAGATTCATCTTGCTCCACTATACTCTGTCCCAGGTCTTTCTTGAGCACTTCTTTCAAAATCTTAAACTGCAAAAAAAAAGAAAAGCATCTTGTGATAAATATCCTTGCTGCGCTTTGTCGTTGTAATTTTTTTATATGTAATAATTATTGTAATACCTATATTACAAATGAGTCGTCTATTATCAAAGGTGGCAATCTGTGCATTTGGACAAAAAAATGTTATTGATATGTCAATACAGATTGATTTGAATATATTAGTCTCCTTCAAAGAATATGGTTCAAAACCTGCATTAAATAAAGGTTAATACTTAACCTGTTATTTATCTAAGATGTCGTTCAGAAGAGTTTTGTGACTGCCAATGGAATACAAAGTCAATAATTCGTTTTTCTGATTTACCAATAATTGTCCAAAAGTCACATACATTGCCGGCTTTGATAATAGTCGACTCAAATAAGTTGGTCATATTTGGAGATCTCCAACAAAACTAGAACCCGAATTCATAACAAAGTAATGGTAAAGCGTAGTCGTAAGCCACACAAGGCCCGTTTTATTTATAACTATAACGAGTCGGCCAATTGGTACAAGTCATGGCATAGCCCCAAAGTGGCCGATGATATTAACTCTGTTTACCCACCTGCACCATTAAAAATGTAGTTTCGAAATGACCCCAAACTAAAAACGTGTTAAATAAAGCCCGTCTTCAGCTCAATGAATCGATTAGTTTTGTAGTCACTAGATAACAATAATTTAGGGATTTTGTCCGTTTGTGGATAGCGCACTATAGGGCAGCGGCAGCCGCGATGCAATCCGAGTTCGGGGACTCCTATTTAGACAGTTTACTGAAGCTGACCGCCGGTCTACGCGCAGTCGAGGCCGTAACCGAGGTTGTTTCACCTTCCAGCTTACAAAAGTGCGTACTAGACACGGCTATTTCAGACGGTAACTGCACTGTAGTGCCGGAAGGGAACCGACAAGGAAGCAACCGATTGAGAATGTATCGGGTTCCGACCCAGCAAGTTGGTTCAAGTTCAGTATTCGGGTATATCAGGGGCATCGGCTAGGTGGATTGACGGGACGCGACTCCGATCCGGTCGTAGATTCAGCGAAGCACTGCTCTTGATAGGGCAGATTTTAGCAAATCCACTCAGATAGGCGCGCCCCTTGGTGCGGAGAAATCGTGAGATGATAGAATGAAGGGCTTAGGTCCAAATAGAAAAAGTTGGGACTACAATTTGTACCAGCTAACCGTTGGTCACGACCATTATGCTGGGTTAAATTGGTAATATGTATAATATCGTCGTTTGAACTACTTAAACAAGATTAAATAGATAAGTAATGTACCTATAGGTGAGTAGGGTATGGCTGTCATGTGCTCTCAGTCGTGAAGAGTGTGTTCCTATAACTTTTCAAATACCTGGAAAACTGAATTATCAAAGAAATTGGTTGGTTTGTCAAGACATGTTAAGTACTTTTTAAGATATGGAATATTGTTGGGTTACATTATTGTAATTTTATTTGAATGCTGTGAATATTCGTCTGCAATACAAAACACTCTTCAATGTGCAATAAATAACATGCACTTTGCGGTTTCTATAATATTAAAACAAGTAAAATAATTATTAATTTGATTTAATTTAATTTGTAGCATATAATGAAGCTTTATTGTGAGAAATTCTACTGGTGGTAAGACCTCTTGTGAGTTCGCGCGGGTAGGTACCACCACCCTGCCTATTTCTGCCGTGAAGCAGTAATGCGTTTCGGTTTAAAGGGCGGGGCAGCCGTGGTAACTATACTGAGACTTTAGAACTGATATCTCAAGGTGGGTGGCGCATTCACGTCGTAGATATCTATGGGCTCCAGTAACCACTTAACACCAGGTGGACTGAGAGCTCGTCCAATCATATAAGCAATAAAAAACTTTTTTTTTTCATTCAGTATTATGTAGGTGAAAAAGAAATAACTTTTGTAAATGAACATTCGCAAACAGCATAATGAATGGACCAATTAAGATGTCAGTATTTAATAAAGGGGTCAATTGAATAGATCGTTCACTGTTGAGTAATGCAGACCTGTTTATACCTAATCGCGGACACACTATATGTACCGAATATTAGGTCCTTACATATGAAATTAGCGTTTTGTCGTACTGACCACTTTGATCTGAAATATGTCCTCTTTGGTTAAGAGCTCCAAATTCAAATTTAGAAATTCATTTGAGTTTTGAAAACAGTCATTCATTTGTTTTTCCTCATAATTTTTTCTTTGGCGTCGCTTATTACCGTGCAATGGAAAACATGAAATACCTATCGGTAAATTTACGAATACGAGTTCTACCGTGGCACCATTGCTGCAGAAACAGCTCGAAGGATTAATTATGTGTACGGCGCTGGTGTCGCAACAGAAAGCACGGTACGTTTTTGGTTTCAACGTTTTCGTTCTGGAAATTTCGACCTTCAGAACCAACCCCGTGGACGACTGGAGACCAAAGTGGAAAATGAAGAATTAAAGGTTATTGTGGAAGCGGATCAATCACAAAGCACTTCAGAGATAGCTGCAGGCTTCGGGGTAAGTGATAAAACTGTATTAATCCACTTGACACAAACCGGGAAAGACAAAAACCCTTTGAACGATATGTTGTACCTCATGAACGAAGTGAATGGAACTTGCAAACACGCGTCAACTGCTGTGTTACTTTGCTCAACCGACACAATATTGAAGGGATTTTAAATCGAATCATTACTTGTGATGAAAAGTGGATACTGTACGATAACGGAAGCGCTCGTCGCAATGGCTGAACCCTGGAGACCGAGCCAAATCCTGCCCCAAACGAAAATTTACTCAGAAAGGTTACTTGTGAGTGTTTGGTGGACTAGCGCCGGTGTCGTTCATTACAGCTTTCTAAAATCTGGCCAAACCATTGCGGCAGATATCTATTGTCAGCAACTGCAAACCATGATGGAAGAACTAGCTGCTAAACAACCGAGATTGGTCAATCGCTCTAGGCCACTGCTGCTTCACGACAACGCAAGACCACACACAGCACAACAAACTACGACTAAGTTATATGAGCTACAATTGGAATGTCTGCGACATCCAACGTACTCCCCGGACCGTGCTCCAACAGATTACCATTTTTTTCTGGATTTTAGAAAAAAAATTACAAGGAAAAAAAATCAACACGGACGCGGCAATCCAAACCGCTTTCAAAAGTTTATTGATTCTCGCCCCATGGTTTTTTTTAGTAAAGGGATCAATGAACTACCTATGAGATGGCAAAAGTGCATAAATAACAACGGTGCATACTTTAATTAATAAAATAAATTTTACCCAAAAAATTGTCTTTATATTCCTCCCGTACAAAACGCCAATTTCATAATAATATGTAAGAACCTAATACCAATATGACTCATTTTGTAAATGGTGTTGAAACGTAATTTATTTGACTAGAACATGATCTGAGTTTATTGTTGAACCATTCCACATTGGTGGCAAAGGTTTGCTACTATTAAAGTTTTGAAGTTAAGATTTGCGGTGTGCTGGTATCAAGTAATGTAACTACGCCAGTGTTTAGATCCCCCAGGTAGGGTATTAAGTAATTTTTGTAAGGAAATACGGAATTAACATGTTTATCGACTTCCACGATGTAGAAACATAAAATTATTGTAATCTATCATGTGACAAAACAGAATAATAGTTTAAATTTCCAATTTTCCCATTAGTTGTTTGTTACCCACGTACTGGCCCGCGTGTTCAAGGAAAAGTGTCAGTGTAGTTTCGTATGGGAATGAGATGTTTTTGCGGAATAAAATGTAGCCTATGTTACCGTCCTGACCTAATTCTAACACTTTAAAAAGAATCTCGTCAATCCGTTGTTTCGTTTTGACGTGAAAGCGGAATACACAAACAAGCACAGTTTCACATTTAATAAATTAGTATGGATATGAATCGATTTATATTTTTTAAGTTAACTTTTACTTTCACATTATTCACTGCAGTAGAAACTAATGTGCGGTGGAGTAGATGCTAATAATATGGGTGCCTATTATGAATTAAAAATTAGACATTTTTTCTGCATAATGAAATACCCTATGGTTGGATAGTTATAGCATCATATATTTTACTAGTTTTATCTAGTTCTATCTATCTATTTTACTCGTATCTTTGAACAACACATTTTTGATTTTCCCAGAGTTATATGCCGTAAGAAAATTATTATTTTTTACTTAATAGTAATAACCATCTATCTTCTTGTCAAAAAAAAAAAACAGAAAACTCGCTAGTTTATCTTTTCTATAACTGAAAACTATTCCAAAATTGGATGGGTAGTTTAGATGTAAGCGGTGAAACAGAAAGGCGGACATCGACCTTTATTTTACCAAAATTGTACTATTTAGAGAAGATATATCATTGGACTCAAATAAATTAAATTAATAAATGAATGAGAACATGGCCTTCAAACATAATTTAAAACATTTAATATCACAAATATGAATAATAATGGTTATTTATTGGTCAGATGAGACTCATTAACGCAAGGTTAATTTCGTTATTAAAATACATAAAATGACAACATAGACAAACTATCGTTTTATTCATCGACCGGTAGGTACTTTTAATTTAGAACAAAATGCTTAAAGATTGAACTTTTTCAATTAGGTACCACTTTTTTGAGTCGTGGATCGAATTCCATTCGAAATCTACGGGCCGAAGAGGCACGCAACATTTGTAGAATTTCCATTTTCCTGACAGAGGCTCGACAGCGGCAGATTAATGTGGAGAAGAGTTCTCTCTCTCCAACGATCTGCCACCTTTTGGGAGATGGTGGACTCGCAGAAGTTTATTCCGAGAATCGTCGCTACCAAGCATCGGAGCCACGATGTTCGATGACGAGAACACAACGATGATCCTCCCAACCGAAGCGGTGTTCTCGTCGGAAGTTGACATTCTATGGTTGGCTCCTTTCTGACGACTCGGTACCTTGTGGTAAAGTAGCTTTTTGATCCGTCAGAGCTTACCCAAGCCGAAACGTGGGACGCCCGGGCCAATCGAACTAGCAATCGAGTTTAAAATGTGGCGTTCCAGACTTCAAGCAAGGCCCGTCAAGCCTAAAGCCTCCGTCATCGAACGATAACAAGGCCGGGACACAGCTCGCATCAGTGGCGGAAGTCACATCGGCACCTTTATTTAACTACGAACGTTACCACCTTCAACTCCTAAGATAACATATTCGCCGGTATGAAAGCCGCTTCAAGGGAGACAACGCAGTTTCTAGAACATGATATCCTTTAAAGTCCACAATCAGGATGAAAACTAGAATGAAAGCTCTGTCAATAAAACGATATCTTACATTCTACGGTCATGCATTGGCTTAATAAGTCCTAGTTACTTCAATCATAACTGAAAATTTTCAAATATAAAACGGAATTCTTATAACTTTCATGGCTTTCTGCACTACACACACCATTATTAATTCATAAACCACAGATTCTGATATTATCTACTGAACAATGCTACATGCCAAGACTGGTTATAGAAGCAATATAAATTGGCAAATATAGACACTTCAACCATGGTGATGGCCGGTTATCTAGTGAATGGAGTCCAGTATTAAATTTGGTGAAAGCCAATGAAATCTCTATGCATTCAGAAAGTGAAAAAACTATCAATTCTGGGAGTATTTTTAGAGGTTGAATCATTGAGTTCCAAAGTTGATAGTCCCCAAAAATGGACTTGTTGCATTGTGGACTCCATTTAAGTGGGTGGATTCCATTTAATTCCATTTGAGTGGGTTCTATTTAAGTCGTCGCTGTCGTCGCCGAACATACCGTGGAAGGGCAACCCGGTCGGCGGTGTATCGCGTTCCGACCCGGCAGGCCGGTTCTGGCCCAGTGGGGTATCCCGGAACACCAGCGGCATCGCCCGGGCGGACTGGTATGGCCGCCTTACCGCGGAGACCGACGTCGTTGGTCGTCGACTATCGCCTAGACGACCCGTCGGTCGGGCGTCCTCGGGGTGGCGCCGCGTGTCTGGTTGTAGTGTTGACCGCGGGAACCCCCCTACTCTGACCTGGTTTTGACCCCGGACGGAGATCGGACGTCAGATGTAAGAGTGCAGGGGAGTCCTTTAGTGTGTGGGCCCTAAAATTCATTGGGCCCGCGGTCTGCTTCCAACACCTTGCAGATAGTTGAGTCCCCCATACCCCGCGCGCCCCCTAGGTGCGGAGACCTCGAAAGAGGTTCGGCCCCCAGCCCGAAAAAAAAAACTATAATCTACCCATAACTGAAATTTCTATTCCAACTTGTGACTATCTTAAAAATTAAGCTGAGAGAACATTTGAAAGATATTCAGTTAAGAATTATAGGGTTATACTAAAATGTCCTCATTCCTAAATTATGTTAAGACTTTTTAAACTTTTCTTACAACACAGTCTTAATTACGTATCCTGTAATTTATTGGTATTTGTTAGTTTGATATCAAATAGATTTTCAACTGCATTAAAAAACTAAAATATTTAAACCCATTTTGTGCTCTTGTTTAAATTTATAATCATCACTTTCAAGTATTACGAAATGTGATAGCTGTGTAATACTGGCTCATGCAGTCGGAGTATATTTTTAACAGCAGAAAAAATACATACTGGTAGTGAATTTTTTTAGAAATATGTTATTTAGTATACTCACATCAAAACTTTACAGATCAAAAATCGAAAATCACAAAACATTTCTGTGGATTGTTCAAAATAGAAACAGTTTCGAATGTAAACTCAAGATTTTGTTAAAAGCTGAGATGGTGGTAAGACATCTTGTACTGGTGGTAGGATGTCTTGTGAGTCCGCACGTGTAGGTAACACCACCCTGCCTCTTTCTGCCGTGAAGCAATAATGTGCTTTGGTTTGAAGTGCGGGACAGCCGTCGTAGCTACACTGAGATATACCACCTACCTTGAGATATGAGTTCTAAGGTCTCAACCTCAACTCATATCTCAAGGTAGGTGGTGGCATTTACGTTGTAGATGTCTATGGGCTCTGGTAACCACTTAACACCAGGTGGGCCTTGAGCTCGTACAACCATCTAAGCAATAAAAAAAAGAAGCTATCAAAGTTAAAACCTATTTATAACACAAAACATAACCATGTTACATTACTTAATTGTCATTTTTTTATTGCAGAACAGGATGTTGTAGTGACATATACCTTGATTTTAAAAAGGGATTAATGATGTAATGGATAAACGGTTTCAACTGAATTAGTTGCATTATTTCGCTGAATTAACATTATAGCAACATACTAAAACAATTCGCAATTTCTACTGTAATAACTTACATTACGCGCCTCAGCTTCGTTTCGCGGCTTAAGCAACAAGGCTATTCCATGACAAATCACTGCCACATCGTCAAGGAAAATATTTTCTGTGATTGTTCCTTCAAGATTTAATTCAATCACTTCTATATTCAGTTCTTTCAATAGTCGTACGAAGCAATCGTGCTGGCGCCGTACATCTTTGGGATCCACATCCTTGCCGAATCCTTGGAGCCCAGTGGTTATTTTACCAACCAGTGCATGGGTATATTCATTCATTTTAAAATCCATTTCTAGTAACAGTATACTAACTGCACGCACGTACGTAGTATTACTGTCTGATAATCTCTTCTCTAAATATTTTCAGGATGATCCACAATTTTCCTCTTCCTTAACCTTAATCCTTATTGTATTTTATTGAGTGCACCCTGCACTTGTACAAATTACACTACAAAAACCCGCCAGCGCAGGATATTGAGGATATTCATTCAATTATCTTATCCTAGGAATGCCAAAGCCAAATCATATATGTCAATTTTCGGAACTACGGTGTATCTATGGGTACTTTTTGATCTATGGGACTTTATGACCTGGTAACTAAGATCTATAGGTCAAGTCTTACTTTAATTATAACATTTTTTATTTATTGAAAAATGAAATGAAATATAATCTCAGTAAAAGGGTGATCATTTACTAAGACTTTTCGGTGGATTTTTTAGAGGATCCTGAGAAGTTACGTTCAGCGGCTTTGTTTCATTTTCCCACATTTGTGCACTTTCACAGATACGAAGCAGTTCAAAAAACCACTGTTATTATACATATAAACCTGAAGAATTACTAAATAGACAAAAGAAAACAAATCACATAACTGCGCTCTTCGCGTTCTCGCCAAAAAGCTAAAAAGTCGCTTTAAGGGAATTACGAACTAGGATGTGATTAATGATGCCCAGTATACATCGCTTCGAAAATGTCGCAAGGTTTATAGACGTTTCGGTGTTTTCTATTCAGGTAGCAACAATAAATACAAAAAAATGCATGGCTGTACCTTCTTTTCCACACGTTGAAATTAACATTACATTTTTTCGGCTACCTTGCATAAAACAACTAAAAAGTACAGGTCCACAACTAATGGGACGTACTTCATGGTATGAGAAGTTTTATTTATGCAAAGGTAGTGCGAACATCAAAGTTTTCTAATTTAAAATAAGCTAAATCTCCCTTATATACAAATCCCATATCATCTTATCTCATTTCATTTAAGTTTATCCCAATTGATTAATGTCTCAAATTAATCATCTTCATTTCATTTCATTTCATTTCACTCCATATGAATACCTATCATTTTTCATAAAACTAACTTTCATAAAGAATATAAATTAAAATAAGACATGACTTAAAGGTCTTAGTTACCAGGTCATAAAATCCCTTAAAAAAATACGTCCTAATATTTATAAACATAAATTTTACGACACTCAATGTATTTTATTTATGAAACGAATATGATAAGCTATGAAAGTAATTATGTACCAATCAATTAGTGTTAATAATAATATGATTTATCAAGTTGTTGTTGCTCTCAATAAGTGATTTTTTTGTATCTATCTATTTACGCAGTTTGTAATTTGGACATTTTCTGTACATCACCTTGTTCTTAAGTAGGTGCATAGGCAGCGACAATGAATAAAGACAAACGAGAACTAGAATATCCGGCTGAATTAGAGTCACAGTTCATACTTAAGCTTCCTGAACATCCTGCTAAAATACTACGAGAATTGTTAAAGTCAGGTGAGAATTTGAAAAATCGTCTTACCATACAGATTGATAATGATATGCGGCGTGGAGAGGTACGCTTGGATCATTGGTTGATGCATGCTAAAATAATTGACCTTCCAACTATTGTCGAGTCCTTGAAAACTATTGATGGTAAAAGTTTCTATAAAACAGCAGATATTTGTCAAATGATGATTTGCAAAGATGGACCAGACCAACCAATAGCTGAAGAAGAAATACCAACAAAAAATAAAAAAAAGGATCCTTATAAGGTAGATAAAAAGTATTTGTGGCCCCATGGTGTAACTCCACCAACTAAGAATGTTCGTAAACGCAGATTTCGAAAAACTCTAAAGAAGAAGTTTGTTGAAGCACCAGAAATAGAAAAAGAAGTTAAGAGGCTACTCAGAGCTGATAATGAAGCTATCAGTTTCACTTGGGAAGTTATCAAAGAAGAAGATGAATCGAACAAGCCTGAACCAACCACATCAAAAAATACAAAACCTGAAAAAAAGTCAAAAACTAAACGAGGCTCTAAACGAGAATCAACATTGCATGCCACTAAACCAGAGTCATCAAACATTGTTGATATATTTGGAGGGGGTGTGAGCGATAGTGATTTTGAAGATGAAACTGTTAATGTTGATTTGCAAAACAGTCGTCTATCAGTTTGTGACAGTCGTCTTTCTGGCAATAGCACGAATCAAAGTTTGGGTGAATCACTAACTAAATCATCAGCCTTACCCATTGAGTTTGGATCTCATATGTTCCAATCATCCCAGGGAGTATCATCAACTTCTGATGCAAAGTGTGATCTCTCATCTGAAGATGATGGTGAATTTAGCCATGAAAAAGATGATATGGCTTTGAGAATTAATCAACTTAAATTGGAAGTGGATGAACTGAAACAACGCCGACAGAAGATCAAACTTGAAATTTCAGGAATAGAAAACTTAGCTCTACGTCAAAGATTTCAAGATAACCTGCACACTCTCAATCAAGATATAATGTATAAAGAAATGAAATACCAGGGTCTTCTTACTCTGCAAAACTCTGAGGATATTTAAAATGCAGATATAGCAGAAATGTACTATTTTTAAAATAGTCAAAATTGAGTTTTATTGATTCAATTTGGATATTTTTCATTAATTCTTTTCAAGAGTTATATTATTGATTACTTAATTTAAGTGAATTTATTTGTTGTACTGTTTTTATTGATTATACTGGGAGTAAGGGAACCACTTTCGTAAATTATGACAGTAGAAACTAAAAAGTATACATGGACTAAATGAAAATTGTTATAAAATTGTGTATTTCACTAATTATTGCACTTCATGCAATGCTACTTGTGAATCTGAAGAGCAAGCTACTGTCAAGTCGAATGTCAATAACATGAGTAAAAGCAATAGCAAGTTTATATATTGACATGATTAATTACTGTTTTAACTTCGAGAATGATTACTTAACACTTTTGAATTCAGGGTAAAAATAAAAAAAAATTATAGATTTAATTTATAATAAAAATTATCTGTATGTGAAATAATTGATAATGTATAGCAAGTAGCTAAACCTAACATTCCAATTAGAAACTGATTGGTGAAAGTACATTAAATTGGTTGTTTACTTTCTGTGTTAATATCCTTAGAAGCAATAACTTTTTTACTAATTTCTTGGGTTAACGAGCTCATGGCCCATCTGGCATTAAGTGATTACCGGTGCTTATAAATATGATAGCGTAATTTCCGTCACCCACAACTCAAGGGAGATGTTGGCTGACATAAAATATTAGAACAAAATTTATTACGAGCAACTTTCAAATAACAATTTAAAAAATCCTACCAGTTCGCTGCTAGTAGCCTAGAGGCTATTCCAGTTACGCCCGGATTGATTTTAGCAAGCTATTTCAAATATACAAATCACGATAAACCTGTACAGTACAAGAATTGAATTAGTCTTCAATTCTGAAAATGACTTTAAGCTGAGCATAAACTGAAGCAATATAATCTTACTCACACATTGCCTAGTCTAGTTTACAATAAAAAAAATTGCTTACTATGCAAACACCTAAGAGGTAAACTTAGTAGTTTACTATTATCTGATTTTTTAAAGAAGATATGTTGAGGGTAGCTTTAATAAGATTTGTTGTCAACGTCACTTTATGAATACGTTAACTACAGTTGAAACCTCGTTAATATTTCTAAAGTACTGCCCCACTCTTGAAATCTTGAAGGTCTCGTTAGGGCAGTCGTTAGCGTTCTTGACTACTGGGCCGAGGGTCGTCCGTTCGAATCCCACAATGGTCAAAGATTCGTGCATATATTAAAAATTAATTAAATACTGAGCATTCGTGCGACGAACAATTATTTGTTTTCTCTGTGTCTAGGTGTTTAATATTTATATAAGTATCACACATACTTAAATGCATTTTGAATTCCAATAATTGGGACGAACCAGCAGAGAAATGGCGGTTCTCTCAGAGGAAAGATTAAAATTATGAAGATTGATCGCAGCTTGTGTCCCGCTAGAACCAAATTCTAAGCTCCGTCATAGCTAACAACAGATCCTGTGAGAAATATATCAAAAAAGGGATTGGTATGGCAAAGAGTTCTTTGTCCTAAATGGACTGAGTATGGACTAACATAAACATTTCGGGATAGACCAAGATGCACTTTCTCTTCTTTTCCATTTTTCTTTACGGTGGGGAGACTACCGTCGAATCGACGCGTTTGAAAAGTGGTGCTGTAAGATTTTTATATTGCTTAGATGGTTGGTCGAGCTCACGGCCTACCCGATGTTAAATAGTCATCGTAGCCCATAGACACCAACAACGTAAATGTCGCCTGAAACTTAGAACTCGTGCTAGCACGAGCACAAATTCTAAGTTTCAATTCTTACAACAAAACGGCTGCCTCAACCGCTGCTTCAAACCGAGACGCATTACTATTTCGTTTCACTACAGAAATCAGAGAGTTGAAATATGACTAGAGGAGCAAACCTCAGTACCTTGCGTACTCAAAAGTGTAGCCGCTTTATGCGGCGACGATGTAGCTTTGAAAGTAATAAAGATTTTAAATTAAACATATTAATTTATCTCTTACTCTAGTTCACTAGTTACGCGGCGTATTGTTAGTTGGGTAAAGATGGTAGGTAATATTACTTGAAGCAGAACGATTTATGTAACCTGCTTAAGAAATATTTTGCCAGAATATTTATTATTTAAGCGAAAATGAATAAATAAAATAATTTAACTAAAATAATTTTGAATAAACTTAAATGAAGTTTTTTTTTTTATTGCTTAGATCAGATGGGTGGACGAGCTCAATAATAATACAAATAATTTATAATTGTGTAACAATTGTATTTGTGTTTTTTTTTCTTTTGAACCCATTATTCAAAGAATGGTGACTGAATGAATGTATGGCTGAAACTGTACAAATTTTCACGAAACTGTCTACAGTTTATCTAGGTTCTGGAATAGGACAAAAGATATTTTGCTGGCAATACTGAACCTAAATTTCATAGCCTTTTCTCGATGATCTTTAAAATCAGTTTTTGTTTTATTTACAATGAAAATCAATACAGAATTGATAAAATTATGTGTGAAAAGTAATCCCGCTTGCCTTATTGTGTATTTTCGACCTCAAAAGGCACTCTTTCACCACACATTTACCCATTTTTCAGGACTTATTAGGTACTTGGACGACAGCACGCAAGTAGCTGAATGAAAATGAAATAAGCCGCGCATACGCCTGTGGGCTTATTTTGAGTGGTTACGCGTTGATGCGGTAACTACTCGTCTAGTATATTTAAATCAATGGCAGAAATAGGCAGGGCGCGGCGGTGAGACCTACGTACCTGTGCGGGCACACAATTTTTTTCGATATTGTTTTTATTACACGATCCTTCACCTTGCTATAGTAGAATTATTTTGTCCCTGCAGTTTGGGTCATAAAAAATCGGAGCGGTGAAGCGAGTATTTCGCTCTCTCTTCCACTCACGAGCCTTATGGACGGGCATAGTGATGCTAATTATTGTTGTCGATAAGTGTTATTGATAGTGTATTTAGTTTTGTCATTTTGTGGGTTAGTGATTAAAAATGTAAGAAAAATCACTAATCGAACACTTATATCCAGTGGCGTAGCTAAGTAACCAAGGGCCCTGGGGCAAATTAAAAAATGGGGCCCCACGGCTATGTAAGCTGATTAGATTGTATCAAATAAAAATATGAAATACTTTAAAGTTGCTAAGCTACTTAAGCTCTTTTTTGTGCACTGCAGGGCAGGTAATAAAAATATTAAACAGTAACAACATAAATTACAATTAATACTTGGTGTAGGTTTGGCTAATAAAACGAAATAGAGAAGATTCAAGGGTTTATTATATAAAGGTCGGGTCCTTTTTTTTCGGGCTGGGGGCTGAACGCGCGTGGTATGTGGGACTAGTCCGCAACTGCGAAACCGCGGATCCCAGAATGTTTTCAGGACCCTACCGCACTAAGCAACTCCCCTGCACTCTTCCTATCCCCGATCCTCTCCGAGGTCAAAACCCGGATGAGGTAAGGGTTACCGCGGTGAACACTACAACCAGACGGCGCAGCTCACGCTAAGGGCGCCCGACAGAGCCTTCGAGGCTTAACTCGAATTCACAATAAAATGCACATCGTAGATAATAAAACGCACATATCACTATCCGTCAAATTTACAACACTGCCAACCTACAGAAAGAATTTAGGGGAATTCCCTAGACATAACTTTTGAATTTCATTCAACTGAGTTGTCATGATTAAAGTGGGGTTGCAACCTGTCATATTTATTTTTAAAATAGAAGAAATTTCCAAAAGTTCAGTCCGATCGAGGTTTCTGGTAAGGATTCGAGCTGAGCTTGAAGGCCCCGGGGTACCGCCCCGCCTGGCCCCTAGGTAGCTATGCCACTGCTTACACCACATATCGCCGCAGCAAGTTAACGAGAACGGCAGAAATGAAGACTGTAACTTTTCGGGATCTATTCTCATTTCAGTGAAAAATTTTAACACATTGTTGATAATAACACGTGCTTGTGCTAGTATATTTTTGCCAACATGCAAAATATTTGAATAAATTCTACTGTTTTGGTACAAAAAAAGGAGTAGCCATTGTGTTACTAAATAAATTCAGAGAGCGAATGCACAAAATCACATTTCTCTTCGACATATGTACTATAATTTGCGGGTAGATACAACAAATGACTCATAACGTAACAATGTCACACCACCCTTCGTATACCACCCCGCCGCCGTGTACCTGCCTTCGATACTCATTTATTTTTATCGATAATGGAGCTGCGCCCGCGCATCATGCTCAGCGCCCTAGCCGGGCTATGTTTTATGACCCAAACTGCACGGACAAAATAATTCTACTATAGTCATTCGTGAACATTTGCTAATGTCGCATCGCTATTCGCTAGACACGAAAGCAACGGGCGTGTTAACCTTTAGGCCACTTTTTTTCCTACTTAAGCTGGTAGCCTTGAGAGGCTATGCCAGCGTAACCGAGCGAGTAGGTTAGCTCTCGAGGCTCTAGTCTGGGGGCGTTTCTAACGCTAACGCTAGCGAGAGCAGTGCTTCGCAGAATCTACCACCGGATCGAAAACGCGACCAACTGATAAAATCCGGCGAGAAATTCAGTGGGCTTTGTCTATAGGTTAGTTTACTCGCTGAGCAGTTCATCGCAAGTGACAGGTTCGACGAGAACGATGAGAGAATACCGAACCAAAGAGGAAGGCTCAGAGGCAGAAGTTCAACGCGTTGTTCGGATTAGGCTCCATACGCAGCACCTCAGTCCACGATACTGTCCACGCAGTCAAGGATACACCGATCTGGCGTAAGATAGACATTTCTTCTTCAAGAAAACTTCTTTAGAATCGTTGTGATTTCAAACCGGATGCAACGGAAAAAACGACAGGTAAGAGACACAAATACAAAAATGTGTAGGATGAAGCCAGCAAAGAATGAGACAGAAATATACATACTACTTAATACAGCGCCATCTGTGAGATTTTTTATTTAATACTAACGTGTGTATGAAAGCTCTTGTAGTGAATTTTAATTTAGGATTATACGTGAAATTAAAATATCAATTCACAGAGGGCGCTACCTTACAATTATTCACTAATGACAAAAATTTACATATACTTAAGACGTTTAGGATAATAGTATTTTAATTTTGGAAGGTTTCACTTCTACCACGTGTGAATTGCACACATGTAATTTTTTTTTCTACAACCTTACCTACATAGGTATTCGTTCACTATAGCACCTCTAACACCGGTCACTCACATGCGCACGAATACGCAAACCCGCAAGTGCAGGACGACATTTACGAATGATTATGCAAAGTTTTCGCTGCATTCGTGGTTTTCCAAGCTGTGTCGGTTTTTTAACAGACATCAAAGCGCGCGAACCTCGAACCTTCGCGTAGTCTCCCACACATTCGCTTGCCCAGTTGTGCCGACGATTGCGAAGGTAACGGACGTATCACCATTTTCATAGTTCATGACGTCTACTGTGTAGCGTATCTTCATCAAAAGAAATCCCAAAAAACAGCATGGCTGTTATTGATGTCTGGGAAAGAATTCAAAACTCTTTTTCTTTTCAATGTTCTATTGACGAATTAAAAAGGAGGAGAAATTCGTGAGACATTCGTAAACAAGTGTAGGAGGAAGCGCAAACGGGTTCGCAAATTGAGTATGCGAACCCATTTGCACAGCCGCTAGGTTTGCGAATGAATGTTTGACGGCCCTTCACATGCGCGCAAACATTCGTACAATGTACGAATATTTGCGCGCATGTNCAATGTTCTATTGACGAATTAAAAAGGAGGAGAAATTCGTGAGACATTCGTAAACAAGTGTAGGAGGAAGCGCAAACGGGTTCGCAAATTGAGTATGCGAACCCATTTGCACAGCCGCTAGGTTTGCGAATGAATGTTTGACGGCCCTTCACATGCGCGCAAACATTCGTACAATGTACGAATATTTGCGCGCATGTCAGTGGCCGGCTTAACAATTTCACTAAAAGAACGTTTCCATAGATTAAACACGTCATAGATTAAACAACATATTTCTAAAGGCAGCCACCATAGATAATGCACCCACCGCCCACCCACTTCAAAAGATAAATAACCATTGGGACACGTCGATGAATGTCAATTGACTTTTAATAAGTGTACTGGGAGTTCAGTGAAATTGAAAAATAGTATATTATAACTGGGCAACAAAACAGCACCTATTCAAAAATAATACAATCAATATCAAACGAAAACTGTCATTACTTACATGTAGATTTAGTCGTCCTTGCAAAATTAACTCGTAAGTGGAAAGTTTTTTTTTCCTTTTCCGAATACTACATACTTATTTAAATTACGTTTACATTCTCATACCTTAGAAAATTTAAGCTCTTATTTTCCGAAATATATTTAGTTTAAATAAAGGTATTGCTTTAATTAAATTAAACCACTTTGTCTCAACTACATACACATAAATAACAAATTTTACATATCCGATTAATACTTATTTCTAGAAAAATATCAACAAATTAATTAATTTTGCATAATAAGTCGACGAATCTTGATAACACTTTGATTGATGGTCAAGATAGGATAAAGAATAGATAATATTATAATTTGTGATTTAATGGTATTATTTCCGATTTTGCAGATCAATATGAGGCTCTTAGTTACAATAGGTTGTATGATCGTTTTCCTTCACTGCTCGTATGCTCCTCCTGTGACCCCTGATAAATCAGAAGACAGTGAAATTAAGGATGATTTGGTAAGTGAAAGTTAGATTTTAATTATAGTTTGACTTCAACTTAATTTTACCTACCAAATATGTATGATTGCTATTGGCGTGTATGTAATATATATGTTATTAATAAATTTATTTCAACTCTTCAACTTTTTAATTAGCTTAACTGTAAAGCTTTGCATATCAAGCACTCATTAATCACATTTTATTTATGGCACTTTCTTAGATAGTTAGGTACAAGCTTATGGCCATATTTTAAGTGGTTACTGTAACTACCAAACTGGCCTACCACAATGGTAATGCTACCACTTAAGACATATGGTTAAAGTCTCAATTGTAATGTATAATGGCTGTCCTACCTTTCAAACTGGAATCCTTTGTTACATTAGACATATTCATGATTGTAACTACTTCTGTGGATTCCTAATACAAGGTTTATTATAACAATGGCAGAGCTAGACTTTGAAAAAAAAATACATGTTTTTTTAATAAATTAACAAAGATAAAATCATAATTAATGTAAATCATGGTTATTTGTCAGAAAGCATAATTAAAGTATTTGTTATCTTTATATAAAATTCTTAATTTGTATGTCTTGAAATAAAATTATTTATTAGTGTTTGAACTTTTATCTGATACTTTGCACATCCTTGTTTGTTAATGATGTTTGATTTCATTAGCATTTTATTTTTAGCCTAATTTAATAGTAATAATAGTGCACTGAGTTAAAACTAACATTAGAACTATGTGACAAAAAGATTTGGCTTATGCAAATTGTACTAATTTTTTTAGTCAGAGAGCTATTTTTAGTTTTATATGTGCGTGCATGTATTTAAAACTTGGATTAATTTCATTTGCTAAGCAATTTCATTTGGAAATTAACATTAATGATATCATTTGTATTCTTTACTAAATAGTCTCTGCGAAATCTTAATCTAGATTTATTTATAGTACTGCTCATGCTTACCCATTTTGTATAGTCACATCAGTTCTTTGTGTATAAAAAATGATAAAAAGACTGAAAGTACCAGAGGAGATTTGAGTTTCTGGAGTCAGTCATTTATAGCATAGTTTGATTGTTTCTATTATGTTAATGCTTTAATGTAGAATATATAACTCATTCAACATGTTTTGTAGTATTTTTATTTACAACCTTTTAACAAATAAATAAATATTTTCTGTACTATATAGGAGGAGTATATGGAGTATCATAGGTACCTCAAGGAGGTTGTGCAAGCATTGGAGAGTGATCCTGATTTCAGGGAGCGATTAGAGAAAGCTGATGAAGAAGATGTTAAAGTAAGAATCATTTAAAATGGTAGATTTTAGACAAGTGTAAACTTAAATTATTTATTAATCTAAATTAATTAATTAATTATATAATAAATAGTGTTTTACTTTTAATTAAGGTATACAACAATAATTTCTATATCATAGTCACTAATTATTAAGACTGTTGGGACCCTGTTTAGGAATACAATCATTCAATAGCTCCTTTCATTGTGACCTAAATTTCCAGTACACCTCTTATTAAGTGATGCGACAACCAGTGCATAAGCCCGCCCCATAAGAGGTATAAATTTATCTAATGAACATTGTATTTAATGAGTATTCATGAATGATTCCACAATGAAGGAATAAGATCATGAAATGAAAATTAAACTCACAAAAAGTATAATTTGCGTAATTACTAGTGATAGGGCATATTGTGAGTGTGCATTGGTGGGTACCGTTACCCTGCCTATATTTGCTGTGAAATAGTTGTGTGGTCTGTTTTGAAGGATTGCAACTACTATACAATTGAGACTACTGCTACACTATACAATCGAAACTTAAACCTTATGGCTTAAGGTGTGTAGCAGCATTTGCTTTGTGATATAATATATGGATTCTGTTAACTACTGAAACTCTTAAATGGGTTGTAAGCTCGTTCAAGCAACTCAATAAATCATCTATAAGTTAATAAAGACATTTTTGTGATGCACCACACCACATCAGATACAAAACCTTGGGATGGACCTTAGACCTTATGAAACTCCAATACCTTTTGTATCTGGGTTAGAGCTCTCGCTCTTACAAAGGCTCCCGCAGTAAATGCATCAACCCAAGATACTGTTTCCAATGACTTCAGGGTGACCACGGCACCCTTTCGCCCAGAAGCTAAAAGTATATTAGCCTAACAAAACGAGCTTTTTAGAAATACTGTGACTAGTTAAAGAATCCAGCACCATATGTATAATAGCTGCACATTCTTAAGCTCACACTTAAAAGCTTGAGAGTGGATAGCCTTTTACAAGGCTTCCCCCTTCTAGCTTATGCAAAAATCTATAATAATAATACATTGCAAAGACTGTTTTTTCATTCTAGTCTGGAAAAATCGCAGAACAGCTGGACTTTGTCAACCACAATGTGAGGACAAGGTTGGATGAAATCAAGCGACGAGAACTAGAGAGATTACGACACTTAGCTACCAAGGTATAATAATAACGGTTTTATAATTTAAATTTATTGTATTTATACATCATAATACATGTAGCCCTTCGTTTTTTCTATCTATACAAGTATGGAAGCGAAGTAGATGTGAGAGGCAAGAACCTTATGTCCCATAATGGTACAGAGAGTGTTATATTCTTTAGCAGCTTTTATATATGGTTTAGCAGCATGGCTCATTTATATCGGTTACTATTGACTGATTAAATATGCTAACATTACTTTAGTCTAGTGGCCAGTAGTATGTATCATTTATTTTGTGCCAGAGGTAGGTTGAGCACTGGGCAAATATTTCGTTTTTTCAAAGTACATACAGTGTATTATGAAGATTGTTCGTGTATTTATGTTAAGTGCAGTAAGATTTTTCATTGCAAACGAATTTATTAAATGTAGATAATTTAATTACCAAATTATTAATATTGAATTATTTTTTCTTTCGAATCAGCAATTCGAGCTCACCAATGATCTTCACGTCAATATGGGTAAAGTACCGTCTAGTGAACATTTAGATCATACAAATGCTCACACATTTGAAATTGAAGATCTGAAGAAACTCATCATGAAAACGACTTCTGATCTTGAAGCTGCTGATAAGAAACGCAGAGAAGAGTTTAAGGTCAGTCCCGTTCTTGATATAAATCTGATTAAAAAACCATTCTCTGTCTCCACTTATAAAATATTCCAAAACAATTTAATTACATTTCAAACTTTTATCATGTAAGACATAATATAATAATCATATTAGAAATTATTGTGCGTTTAATAATCTCCAACCTACGAATGTGGCGATTTTTAGTGACCAACTGAAAAAAGTTAAGGCAGTTATTTAATGTTCATTTTATGATTACAATTGGTTTAAAAATGTAAATGTGCATTTAGATCATTTAGTTTAGTTCACATAATATAAATTTGGTTAGTACAGCCAAATGGAAATTAATTAATGGAAAACGGAACTTGAAAAAACTGGTTTTACTTGCTAGTCCAACTTAATTTAAAAATGCTATAATTTTTATCTTGTTGTTACTGGTCATGATATTAGGCTGTGATAGTAAATTAGTGTATAATATATGTATGTCTACAATTTCGGGAGTAATGATATTATCGATAATCATGTTCAAAGATTCAAGTAAAAAGGAAGCAAAGATTGAGTACAATCGTGTTAAAAAAATAGAAAAGTATATTGTTCCTTTTTAAATTCGGCTTGTGGGGTACTTTAATTATATAGTTTGCATTTTTAATTTTAATAATTTAGACAATTTAAATTAAAACTAATTGACCAAGGTAAAATAATAATAAAAAACGAAACTCATTACAGACATACGAAATTCAAAAAGAATTTGAAAAACATCAGAAAATGGAAGAAATGGGCGACAATAAAGAATATTTGGAGAAAATAAAGGAAGAGGAAGAGGCCAAGAAACATCACAAGCCTGTAAGATATAATTTTCTTTATTATCATATTGAGAGTCTCAAGAACAATGGGAACAAATTAAGCTATCAAACCTAAAACATAATTCTTAACCTGTCTATATAATTAGAACAAGCAAGGATAATAAGAGCTCTCACCAAAATATTCTAATCTATATATATAAAAATGAATTGATGTTCGTTAGTCCCGCTAAAACCCTAGAACGGATGAAGCGATTTTTGAAATTCCATAAAAGACAGCAAAAATTTATTTACGGTATTTAGGCAAAACTATAGTAATGGGTCAAGAAGTAACGGAATTATTAAAATTGTTTTGAAAATTATTATACAGTCTGTTGAAATCACCTCTTTGAACGTTCATAATATACACTCGAGTAGAATTCCATGAACGCATGTTGATAAATAATTTTGTTTATTGCTTTTCGAGTAAGTCCTTATCGCGTTTGGTTCGTGTTTGAGTCAGATTCTGTGAGCATTGTTTTGTAATGACGTTTTCTAGAAAATAATCGAATAATGCATACTAGCTATGTTGGGTAATTCGTCGATAAAGTTATGCTTATAGTATTCACTGCCTTGAAGGTTAAGTAACTCTCACAAAACATATTCATGTTGAATCAATAAACCTTGAAACAAATTTCATTGGAAGCACATAATTTGTGTTTCTTTAATCTTTAATTACCAAATAAATCTTTATTAGGATCGAATTATAAGTCACCGTTTGTTTCACACACGTTTGAATGAGCAGTTAACTCTCCCACATTAATATAATAAAAAATAATTTTAATTAATCATGAAGGCAATCCTTCATGATTAATAACAATAATAATTATTTTTATTGCTTAGATGGGTGGACGAGCTCACAGCCCACCTGATGTTAAGTGGTTACCGGAGTCCATAAACATCTACAACGTAAATGCGGCCACCTACCTTGAGATATGAGTTCTAAGGTCTTAGTTTTTACAGAGCAACTGCTGCTTTACCCTTTAAACCGAAACGCATTACTGCTTCACGGCAGAAATAGGCAGGGGTAGTGGTACCTACCCGTGCGGGCTCACAAGAGGTCCTACCACCGGTGATTAAAATTAATTTGACTAAAACGACCTTATAATATCGTCGTGTGTGGTCGTCTGCCAATATGTACATATATCACAACCATTATAAACTGAGACCATTAGCTCTGTTTAAAGTTTTCAGTACACAATTCCTTAATAATGTTGAACGTAAAATAGCCATTGGAGTTCTCTAAATGAGTTTTTGTTTATTTCAATGTTTTCTGATATCTATTGATTTATAGAAAAACCAAAAATAATAAAATAATTGTATGGAAAACTTATTAGAAAACAAAATTGATTAGAGGACTTCACAAAAATGCTTTAGTAACAAATTACATGTACAGTATAGCTTTCTTCCATTTAAACTTAATAAAAAATAAACCTTATGTCGCGGGTTTAAAACCGCCTTACGGAATCCAGGCTCATGATGAGAAACTAAATGTCATTCTAGTGTTTTGTTCGGTTTTCGCGATCAGATGTAATCACGCGCCTATTACTTTCTTTGTATTATTTACGATTTAAATAATATTACAAATTTTAGTTAGATTCCACCCGTTTACTGGTAGGAATTTAATGTGTTAATAATTTACCTGTACACAAATATAACTAATAATACAAATGACGAGTATAAAATCTATTTCCGCCAATTACCATTGCTGTTTCCGCCTCATTAAAGGTTATTCCCCAACAGGGCCGCCACACTTCAAATTATTAAGTAAATTATTAAGTGTAGTAGGTAATCAACGAAACTTAGTTTTTAGAATTGGATAGTTTTCAAGATGTGAAACATTGTTTTCTTCCCCGTATTTTCCTTTCTAGGTTTTTTCCGTGATCCCTCTACTAAATACAGACTTGTCGCAAGGCTAGGCGCAACATTGTTTGGCAAAAACATTCATGTCACGACATATAAGACCACGGCTTTATTCTTTATTCCAATGTTTGAGACTGACCACGTCACCAAGTGTGTGGTGACATGTATGTATGTAATGTTACCCCTTATAGACTGTAGTGACCTGCAGGCAACTGTGAGTACTAAGTAAATACAAAGCTCGTTCTTGTCAATTATTTGTTGGTCAATGAAGAAATAATTGAATTCAATGTCAATCTTTAGTTCTTCAATTCTTTCAAGAAAAATTCAATTCAATGCCCATCTTTCATTCTAAACATTTGTTTCGATACCTAAATACAAGGGCTCACTCGGCACTTTGTCTATCGTCTGTTTTCGTTTCTAATTCTCTTACAAATAGTTTTTATTTAATGTGAATTAAAACGCAGCTCCATCACCCCGGTTCTAAACAACAATTAGAAGAGGTCTGGGAGAAACAGGATCATATGGATCAACAGTTTGATCCTAAAGTTTTCTTCATGATGCATGGTGAGTTGATAGTAATCACATTATTAATATTATGTTGTTATTTGTAACAGCTTCACCATCCTGTGACCAAAGGCCAGTTATTAGAGATTTGGAAAAATGGTGACCATATGGATTTGAAAGATTTCGACCCTAAGGTGTTTTTCATGTTGCATGGTAAGACATGTAGCATGCAACGCATTATAGCTGTTTTTTTTGCATCACACTCATCCATTTGTATTTATGTTCCGTCGTGTAATGATTTTGTGCATGTTTAGTTAAGTACGTAGGTACGTCTTGCCATAAATAATGTTATATCGGAAAAAAAAATAGTTTTTTCTTTCCTAATTCCATGGAACACTACTGCAGTGTGCGATAGCTAATACATTAATAGTGTCCTGAAAAGTGAACGTCATTCAAAATGGGTCTTCCTAAAATAATCCACAATCGTTGTGACCAGTTATTTATTAGTGAGAGGATGTCAGGTTCGAAATTTAAACATGTATATTATTGTTTCTTTATTATAACCATAACTATGGCTAGACTGTATTTAACACTTTTGAAATAATTGTTTTCCTGTTTGATTTGTTTTATATTGACTAGTTTTATTTTTTGTGTGTTGTTGATGCTTGATTTGTGTTGTTAATACGTTTGGCTTAATGTGAACTCATATATAGTCTTAATTTCGTCAATAGTACATTAGCGCGCGCTCTCTCTCTCTCTCTCTCTATTCATTTTGGCACTAGTAAATTAGTTCTATCTTCCTCTTTTTCGGAATAGATGTGGACGGTAATGGCGTTTGGGATGCAAATGAAGTGAAAGCCCTGTTCGTTAAGGAATTGGATAAATTCTATGGACCTGGTGGTCCCAATAAAGATTTGCACGAAAGAGCCGAAGAGATGGAGAGGATGAGGGAACATGTGTTCAAAGAGAATGATAAGAACCACGACGGACTGATTGATTTCCATGAGTTTATGATGGCCACGCAACGTGCAGATTTCAATCAAGACGAAGGTAATATAGTAAAAAGATTGGTATGAAAACTTTAAGGTTATCAATTAAATATCACTACATAAGATGTTTCCTCTCTAGGCTGGAAGCCAATTGAAGAAAATCAGGTCTATACACAAGCAGAGTACCAAGAGTACGAAAGACGTAAGCTAGAAGAGATTAGATACTTGCAGCAGCGTGGTTTGGTAAGTGCTGTATTTTTTAGATAAGAGCATGTTAAGTTTTTAACATAACTGCGCATTATAAATTGTTCTTACATTGTCACACATAAATAATTATATTGGAAAAATATATCAATAGTGATTATTTTGGTTTAGGTTGATCCCCACGGTCGTCCACTACCAGGATCTCAACACCAAATTCACCAAGCTCTCCAGGAATTCTACGCCCATCAACAACATCAAGGTTATCCGGCACAACAACAATACCAACAACCCCAGCACCAGGGTCAAGCCCAATATTATCCACCGGGACAAGCACAACAAGGTTACCAACAACCCCAACAAGGATATCAACAACCTCAACAAGGATATCAACAACCTCAACAAGGATATCAGCAACCCCAACAGGGATATCAACAACCACCTCAAGGTCAATATCAAGGACAGCTAGGTCAGTCACAGAACCAGCCTCAGCAAGGACAGTATCAAGCTCAGCAACCGCCTCAGGGGCAGTACCAGGGACAACAACCCCCTCAAGCTCAACAACCACCTCAAGCTCAACAACCCCCTCAAGCTCAACAACCTCCTCAAGCTCAACAACCACAACAGGCTCAACAACCGCCACAAGCTCAACAACCACCACAGGCTCAATATCAAGGACAGCCGCCTCAAACCCAATATCAATCACAGCAGCAGCCCCAAGTACAGCAGCCGCCTCAAAATCTACAACAACCCCCTCAAAATCAAGGACAAATACCACCGCAGCCTAATGTGAACCAAGGGCAAGTGCCTCAGCTACCTCCAGTTCCCATTCAAGGGCAACCGGCACAACAAGCTCAGGCCCTACCCGTGCCGTCACAGAATGCTCTACCCCAAGTAAACTCACCTATTCACTAAAATAGAGTATTAAAAGCAAAATACGACCTCTACATAGTACTCTACTCTATTCTAAGTAGAATTTATTTCAATTCGATTAGACTCAATTAGCGTATTTAGTCGTTAATTATAGCAATACCTGTCCCGTTGAACGTTTTTGCTTACATCATATGTGAATTTGCATAAATTATATCTCGTATTTTAGCTCATTAAATTTTGTTTACTTGTTGTAGATAGCGTAAAATTACTTACTTAAAAAATATACTACTCATTTCCTGAAATATTTGTCTATTGATATAGATGGATTTTCACTTTCTTCATGGTGCTTAGAGCCTCAAATGGTGCCAAATTCGTTTCATGTCTGTCGTTACATCTTTTTTATATTATTAAGCTTTTCAAATTCAAATGTAGAATTTCTAATATCAATAAATATAAAATCCAAGGAACTGCTTTTCAATACTCAGGGCTGACTATTCAGTTTTATTATAAAAGTTGTATCTAGGCATAATAAAATACGTAATGAACAGATTTAAAATTACACTCCCATTGAGAATAAAAAAACATTGTTTCATTTTTGTATTCGCTCAGATTATAATTAATTTGATAGGAAACTTTTATTTGATAATTGAAAAATCAGTCCTTAGTGGATTTTTTTTGGATCTCAGGTCGATAATGTCCTCACCATTAACCTGTAGACTTACATCAGTCTATTGCAACAATGGACACTATTCAATGGAGATTTATCTGATAAATTATTTGAGGTGATCTCATCATTTCCATTTAAGCATTGCACCGTCCGCCATCGGAGCAAAGTTCGTCCATATTACACAGACATACTTTTCCGTGTGCGATCCGGCTTTGGAATGGACTGAATATACCAGTATGAATGAATTCAATTTTTTTTCCTACCTATTCTAGTAACCTCGTGGGTTATTCTAGATTCACCGAGCTAGTAGGTGAGCTCACGGGGCTCCAACGGGGAGTGTTGCTAACACTGGCCCTAGCAATAGCAGTGCTTCGCAGAATCTACCACCGGATCGGAAACTCGACCCACTGAGAAGATCCGGCGAGAAACTCAGTGGGCTGTTTCTATGGGCAAATTTACTCGTCGAGCCCTTCGTCGCAAGCGACGGGTATGGCGAGGACGGTGATCGGTGCTTGAGGTACCTAAAAGCACCGGTAATGGATCGGGAGGATTCGTAATGACGTGTTTAGGGTGAATTCTATAGTATTGAGAGCTATGACATGTTCTTCAGATGCGATTTGTAAGTAGACTCGTATGGTCGTAGGTCCAACTATAACATTGCAATTGCAGATATTTATGAGTATCAGTAAACCGCTAGATCCGCGGTATGCCTTTTTTATCATAGCACACTTAAATTTACCATGCAATGCGACGTTCTCTTTAGTTACACTTTGGATGATTTGCAGTGCTTGCCTTATCGTTGCCGTTTATAATTTCCCTAAACATCGGTATCAGAATGAACAATACGTACCTACATTAGAAAGTCTGATAATTTAAGATATCGTATTAGGTAAATAGGCTTGAATCTATATAAGAATTAGGGTATTAGGTACATTTTCATTTGTACATTCGAATGATATAAACCGAGTGATTTTTATAAGTATTAGCCATATGTGTCTGTCTTTGTCAGGACTGTCAGTTTATATCATACTTCAGTGGTTTATATACCATTATTAAATATAAATAAATCAAAATGTTTCTGAATGTAATAATAAGCGTTATTTTATCAATCGTTCACTCGCACAATCCCCTTATAAGTTATAAAGGTCAGTGAGATACAATAGGGGATTTTCCTTAAAGCAGACTTCCCCTGAGCATACCTATTGAATTTTATTACTGTTCAATAATAATAGTTTATAAGATAAATTTGTATCTTAGGAATATTGTATATTGTACCTTGAGAATATTTTCATCGGTTTTCACCTCTGCACTTCATAAAAATTAAAGTACAGTTTATAACTCAATATATTACAGATACATTGAATCGTTATTAGATACTAGTAAAAAAAAACAATAATAGTTCTAAATTTGAATTGGAGTTATCTATAAATGTGGACTTGTTTATTCGACTTTGTTTTGGGGCTACGTCAACGATTATATAAATTAGTCAAACAGGAAGTTTTTCTTTAGGCCAGAATATTAATCAGATGATCTGGAAATTAGATCTCTTCGAGTAGGTGTCGAAAATCACTTTGTGATATGACTGTGGGCTCCAATAATCACTAAGACATGCGACCCGATTATCTACACAAATAAGGAAAAAATATATATTATTTCCTATAAAATTTACCTTATTTATGGGCTTATGTATTTTTATTTGAATTGAGTAGTAAGTATAAGTGTTTGTAAATGAAGTGGCCGCGGCTGTGAATGTACATGTCTTATTCGATTTCTCTGAAATCCTTAATATTTTTAATTCGGTACATTAAGTTCAAATACGCTCCGTCTAAGTTATTTTATAATTGTTTCTGCCGAAGGCGTTTGCGCTTAACTTCAAATCGACGTGACGGAATTATCAATAATAACCATTACAATAAAGAAGTCTAAATAATAGGTAGGTAATTATGACAAATGATGATTTAACAAGTTGACAAGTTTCAATTTTAATTGCTATATCATTATGTAACCGCCTTTCTACCGAGCTGGTCTGATGAGGAAAGAAGTTAGTGGAGCTGGTTCCATTAAAGCCTGAATACCTGTTTTAGTGAGTACTTGTACATGCAGATACGCCGCATTTCCCGCCCGGATACATACGTTTGCCACGGATAGGCAGAGCACCGCTATGATCTCGTTTTAGTATCACAGGCAACGATCTGTTACTCCAGGATGTAGGCAGTGGCCGAGAGCGAAGATAACTAAATTATAGGGTTATGACCTATTCTAACTCACACACATACTTCAATAAAGTCATCTCGTGAAAGGAATCAGCAACTCCGCCGTCAAAGAATTTGAGCGAGACAGCGCGCGGAATACCGCCCGCTGCCCGCTTAACGAGGTATCTGGTGTAGATGCGGGAGCGCCGGCACCGATTATGTGAAGCTTTAGAGTAGACAAGAAAGCATGGTATATTGCCACAGCTCACAATAAATAAGTCGTTGCTCTGTCCTACACGTACTAGTAAGGGCCTGCCCGTTTCGGTGTGGGTGATCTGATACTGTGGTGAAACGGTAGCGTGTGTAATCACCCCGATGGAAGTTAAGGATCTAATCAAAGACCTACGTCCTCGCAAGGCACCCGGTTCAGACGGTATTTCTAACCGCGTTATTAAACTTCTACCCGCCCAACTCATCGTGATGTTGGCATCTATTTTCAATGCCGCTATGATGAACTGTATCTTTCCCGCCATGTGGAAAGAAGCGGACGTTATCGGCATACATAAGCTCGGTAAACCCAAAAATCATCCGACGAGTTACCACCCGATTAGCCTCCTTATGCCTCTGCTGCTGTATGAGCGTCTGTTCCACAAACGCCTCAGAGACTTCGTCTCATCCAAGGGTATTCCCATCGATGAACAATTCTGATTCCGAGCAAATCATTCATGCGTACAATAGGTGCACCGCCTCACGGAACACATTCTAGTAGGGCTTGACTGACCTAAACCGTTATACACGGGGACCATAATTTTCTTCGACAAACTGTGGCAAAACGGTTTGATTTTCGAGTCGAGGGAACCCGGCCCTCAGCGCAACCGTTCACGCCTGGAGTCCCGCAGGGCTCCGTCCTCTCGCCGCTCCTATTTACTTTATATATTAACGACATTCCCCGTTCGCCGCCGACCTAGCTAGACTTTTTCACCGACGACACGACCGTTTACTACTCGAGTAGAAACAAGTCTCTAATCGTGAGGAAACTCCAGAGCGCAGCCGTGACCTTAGGAAAGTGGTTCCGAAAATGGCGCGTAGATATCAACCCAGCGAAAAGCACTGCGGTCCTATTTAAAAGGTGAAACTCCACGAATTTCCTCCCGGGTTAGGAGGAGGAATCTTACACCCGCGATCACCCTCTTCAGCCAACCCATATCCTGGGCCAGGAAGGTCAAGTACCTGGGTGTTACCTTAGATGCATCCATGACATTCCGCCCCCATATGAAATCCATCTGCAACGCCGCGTTTCTTCTCGGCAGACTACCCCATGGTCTGTAAGCGGAGTAAAATGTCCCTTCGGAACAAGATGATACTTTACAAAACTTGCATAAGGCCCGTCATGACTTACACGAGTGTGGTGTTCGGTCACGCGGCCCGCACCCGCATAGACATCCTCCAATCCCACTTTTGCAGGCTAGCCGTCGGAGCTCAGTGGTTCGTGAGGAACGTTGACCTACACGACGAACTGGGCGTCCGTCCGAAAATACATGAAGTCCGTGTCGGAACGGTACTTCGATAAGGCTATCCGTTATGATACTCGCCTTATCGTTGCCGCCGCTGACTACTCCCCGAATCCTGACCACGCAGGAGCCAGTCACCGGCGACGCCCTGGACACGTCCTTACGGATCCATCAGATCCAATAACCCTTGCATTAGACACCTTTAGCTCTAACACTAGGAGTAGGGACCCCGGTAACCGTACTCGTCGAAGTGGACAAAGAGATCGACATGGAACCTAACCCATGCATCAGCCCGCTGAGTTTCTCGCCGGATCTTCTCGCGATTCCGATCCGGTAGTAGATTCATTCGCGAAACTGCTACTCTTGAGTTGTTAGGTCTCCTTTGGAGGCGCTCGGGTAGCTGTTCGCAAATCTCACCCCTCCTGGCTTAGCCTTTGCTCGCCCACCTGCACTGGTAAAACTGGAAAGGCCTCCGGGCCACCAGTAACTTTACAAACATAAAAAAAAAACATGTGTAATGATGAAACCGTAACCTCCATTACATTAGGGGAAATCGGAGCAACACCGCGGCCTTTTTAATAGGTATGGTTCTACCTCTAAAACCCTATTGCACACTAGTGCACATTAAATACTCAGGTAGTGGGAGGTAGGATAGGATCCTTAACGGGTTTTTGCGGCGTCAATAAAAAAGGTTAAGTACCTTGAAGCATATTAATTTTCTGTCTTAATTTAAGTTAAAAAAGATGCTTATTATATCAGACGAGCAGATATCTCATATTAATAAATGGAAAAATCCTGTAGAATAGGAGGTATCTGCATAGTTCAATGGTTCACTTTAGAATTTAGATGTTAAGTTTTTTTGCTGGAAACTACATTTTACTCTTGGCAAATGTGATATGTGTGTAACCCAGTAATAGAGGTACTGTGTATTTTTCTACGAAAGTAGTCTTTAAGAAAAGAACATATACATTTCATTATTCTATCAACGTTTCTTTATGACACAAATAAATATTACAATATTGTAACAGCATTATCTCAGCGAAATCGGTGCTACATAAACATGTTTGAAGTTCGTGACTGGTTTTGTATGATCTAGATAATGAGTGTTTGTATTTTTGTATGCATTGTAGAGTATCATTGTTGTAATTATTAATCTAATTAAATTATATTAAATAAATATGCTTAGTTTCTTAGTATAAATATGAATCACAAGAGTAAAAACATTTTGTGATAACAGTAAGCTCAAGTGGCTTCCTATTCGTTATCGCCGGAATGTTCATATATTGTCTCTTCTTTACAGTGTCCTGTTTAATTCCTCGTCCCCGCGCTACCTTCAGGAACGTTTTGATTTCCTACATACTGCAAGCTCTCATTCACTCAGGTCATCGGAGAATTTAATGCTGAAGTTTCCGGCTCACGGGACGTCATTTTATGACCATTCCTTTGCGGTTGAAGCTGTCCGTTTATGGAATGCGTTACCTTTAAGCGTTAAACAATCGTCCTCGCCGGAAATTTTCAAGTCCAGATTGAAATCGCACTACTTTGCTTCTATGATATAACTGTATAAGTTTCTACTTCTTTTGTATTTTATCTTGTATATTTTTAGTATTTATTTGTATTTAATCGTATGTAAGTTTATCTTATATGGTATTTATTTTTCACATGTGTATTTAAGTATATATTTTTATGTAAGTTTATTAAGATATAGCACCGTCCAGTTAACTTATTCCTCTCCCTGCAAGGTTGCCTGGAAGAGATCGCTTTCAGCGATAAGGCCGCCGATTTATATACCGACTTTTGTTTTATTACTTTACTGTGTACATATTAAGGTGTTATATAAATAAAGAGTTATTATTATTATTATTATTATAAGTATTTATGTATTACATTTTTGAAAATTAATTTGGAAGAGTAAATTCATCGTTAATAAAAAGTAGGTTTCAGTACTAGGTATGTATTCGTAAACATTAGTAGTCGAATTCGTAGAGTTAATTAACTAAGCAATTCGGTGATCGCACTAGATTTCAACGAAAAAGCGATTAATTCAAATCTGTCGCAAACTTACAACAAAATTTTTGAATGAATCCTGAGTATATACAGTCAAACCTGGATAAGCGAGAGTTCAAGGGAGCACAATCTCATTCTCGCTTATAGAGGTTTCTCACTAACCCGAGTTTCTCACTAATGCACCCTCTGAATTTCAATTCGCGATTTTCCGGATTCAAACGCATTCACTATTCACTTAATGACAGTACTTTAATTTTCCGTTTTGACATGATGCAGAACAGAACTTTCCTTCGCAATTGATTAACGATAAACTAAGTAAGTCCGGCAAACAGGACGGTACAGAGGCACACGTGTCCATTCGGAAAGAATGCGATAAAATAACAACGTTATTTAGTACCACGAAATAGAATAGGATCAATATTGAGAAAACAATTCAAAAACAATAGAAGGAAGTTCCACAAAAGTTAAGAATGAGTCATAAAATAGTAGATGTTAAATTTGTAATTTGTTTTTTCATTTGTTCCTCCTAAATAATATCAATATAAATAAATAAAGCTCGACTGTCGCTTATAGTGGTATAGATAACTAGCAGTCTCACTTACGGAGGTCCATGAGGGAAAAACGACTATCTCTTACAGAGGTTTCTGTTTCTCTCTAATAGAGGTTTTAGGAGCTTAAAATGAGGGGTCCTGGCTATTACTCTCACTTATAGAGTTTTCTCACTTATCCAGTTCTCGATTATCCAGGTTTGACTGTATATATATTTTTTAAGTATAAAACTTTTCCTTCTCTTTGATTGCCTTGTTGGGCTACTATAGCAAGGATCCAGATATTCACAAGATATATTATGTAACACAGATGAAGTCATCTGTGTTAAAGATATCTTAGATATCTAGTATTGTTGTACTGTGTTCCCGGACCCTAATAACAACATTCTTGGGGCCACAATATATGCTGTCTCTATGTTCACTTAGGACATAGTTAAATCAATTACAATTGAATCGAATCGAATCTCTCTCCAAAATAGAAGGAAATCAAATTAATAAGAACGTGGTAAAATATGGTTCTCTATTAACAACTTGTCGTGATGATGACAAACCGTACGAGGCGTATGATCTCATTTTGCATCTACATTTGTACATGTTATTTTTTGTTAATTCAGCTCTTTCTCCAGGCATTGGTGCATCCCAAACACGATAGAGACATCTCAACGTGCCACCTTGATATTTACTTATTGGTAATAATTGGTATTGGTATAAGTTAAATTAAATACGGAAATAATTTAGTTTTCCTCATAGTAGATAGATACAATAGATAATTAAATACCGTTTAAATAGTTAATCGTCGAAATTGAGGGCATTCAAGTTTATTCAATATATAACATATTATAATGATAGTATTATTAGAACTCTATGTTATATCATTGGTAAGTGTTTTCCGTAATGCAATTTGAATACAATGAGCATTCAAAGATTTTGTCACTGTTCTATGACGAATGGGATTTACAACTATAAAACTTATTATTGCGTATGTTATGTGTTCTATGTTTATCCTAATTATTAGTAGGTAGGTGTACTCGACGGCATTTAACTGTCAATGTTTCAGCTTATAGGGTAGAAAAGCCGCTGTAATACAATAAAAAATAGTAAAAGATACATTCAAAGCATTAACCAGTTTATGTATTTTATAGATTCCTAGAGACATATATGGAAAGAAACACGTAGTTATAATCACATTAAATTTCGATTATAGGTAATTGGAATGAGAGCGAACTAATTTGAGCCAATAGATTCCATTGTCTATTTAAATTAGGCAGACTTTAAATCTGTTAGTACTGATATAACAAAACCGCACATTGTTTAGAGATATTTCGAGAGGCAAGACAAGGCACCCACGCTGTCCTTAAAAATATTTTCTTGGCATAATGAGTCATATATATTTTTTTTACCTAAACTGGTAACCGTAGAGGGTTATGCCAGCGTAACCGAACGAGTAGGTAGCTCACGGGGCTCTAACTAGAGGACGTTGCTAACACCAGCTCTAGCAAGAGCAGTGCTTAGCAAAATCTACCATCGGATCGGAAACGCGACCCACTGAGAAGAGAGGCGAGAAACTCAGTAGGCTGTGTCTGTGGGTTAATTTACTCGCCGAGCCTTCGTCGCAGGCGATGGGTTCGGCGAGAACGGAGATCGCTGCCTGAGGGACCTAAAAGCACTGATAATGGATCCGAAATGACGTTTTTAGGGCGACGTCAACTGTTTATCATTGACGAGACATGGAATAAAACAGCTTCATCAAACTTAAAGTGTAAACAATTGTCATACCGATTTGGCCATAGAATAGTGAGAAACAGTAGGCAATGTTGAGTAACCGGAATTACGTCATCAGCAACAATGATCAATAAAAAAAGTAAAATGGTTGATTTAATTTTTAAATGACATTTTAATATGTTTTCTTAATACTATAAATATATTACGCGAACAACTTTTTTTGCACTAGTAAAATTTTATTTTGACATTAAGTTTTAAACAAATTATAATTGTCATATCATCTCCGTGGACCATGTCATGGCTTTCCAGATTCTTCAGAATAAACAACAACAGATAAGATTCAAAGAAAACGTTCGGTGTTGTCATCGATAGTCTTTGACCTTCATGCGACAAACGGTCAGCTCGTGAGCTGAGTGCTTCTCGGTTTCATTCGCCATACACGTTCGGTGGTGATCAGTCACGACCACTGCAATCATGAAGCTATTTATCGCTCTAGTCGGGCTCTTGGCCCTCGCTAAGGCCCTACCTGCGGTAACCCACAGCAAAGTACTTTGTTACTACGACAGCAGGAGCTATGTCAGAGAATGTGAGTACTCTTTTGCTATGCGCTTTCAAATACGCGAAATCCACTTTGCTTCTTAAATAGGTTTTTATTTTAGAATGTTTGAAGATGACGTCAGTAAGGCATTAACCCCTTCTCAAGCAAGTTATTGTTATTTTATTACCAGTTACGTACGTATAGCCAGATGACTTGCGATGACCGTGTTTTCAGATATTTTGCAATCTCCACTGCATTTCAGATATATCGTTTTTTTTTACATGAATTGTTTGTGATTATTAAATGTCCCTATGCAATATGAGATAATTGAAAAATAAAATATGAAATAATATCACGGGGTTTAGCTTGCTTACTTCAGACAGCTAATGGAATCAAAGGCATTGAGACTTATTTTCCCCGGCTCGTTTCTTCGAAATTTATAGTCCTATGGCTACGGTAACCGCTTAAAGAGAACTCTAGCTCCACGAGCAATTATATTATATCATGTAAACTTATTTGGTTTTTGTTTTAACTATTTTTTAATATTATATGTTTGTTTTTTTGTACTGTTGGATTCTCAAATAAATAAATGAATAAAATATAACCTCTAATGTACGGAAGCAGCCTTTTCTGTATTCACCACGAAAGTATTGGCCTTTAAAATAAAATAGGTAAGCTGCATCTGCTTTTTCCTCATTCATTTTGAATTTTCCTGTTAAGCTTAGACGTAATTGTTTACCTTTACTGGCGTAAGTGGACAAGGGGCGTATTGATTGAAAGTTATTGGTGGTACATTACTTGCTAAATCATTAAGCCGTTGTCAAAATCCTTAGAAACCACAACGGGAGCTATGTTCATATAAGATTCTAATTTCATTGGTATAGGAGTCTTGTAAACGAACAAAATGCATGATTTTTGGAGGCAAGAATCAGATGAATAATGATAACAACCATTTATAACGTACAACACGCCTAACCATCAGGTTTTGTAAATGAAAGTCAACCAGTTAAACTATAGCAATTTAGCTGTTGCACCACCATATGTATTTTGCCGAAAATAGAGCTTTAATTAGATAGTTTTAGTATCAATAATCTGTTATTTCTACAGTACTTCATTAGCATATAAATTTGAATCACTTGATGAAAAATAGGTTTGGTTATTGGATCGCATCGTTGTTAGTTTTTCATTTTTATTATGTAGGTTATTTTATCTGACAAAGATGATTCTCTGATCTTGATTGAATAAAATATTATGACCATTTAGGTTAGATATGCAAGATTTCAATTTTGTCTAATAAAAATAGCTTATAATTTGCTAGACATCTATAACACATCTTTATAAAATAGTGATCGCCTAATAATCGACTCGACCAAACAAACTCAGGCCTCAAAATTTAAAAGCATTTGATGTATTAGATTTACTTTATACAAAGAGTAGTTTTGCTATTGCCGATTAGAAAAAAAAAACGGAATGTAGAAAAAAGCAGTGAGGCTTGTTGTTGCTAGTAATAAATATAAAAAAAACGTTCGACGAATTTAGGAGAGAATAAGAAATTTATTTTTCTCTTTGTCTATCTACATCAAGATAAGTTGATATTAAAGTTCTTGTCTAGGTGTCGAGACATAGAAAGAAAAAAACTAAAACTAGAATTCGTATAAAAAGTTGATCTGACCTTATGTTTCTCGATTTGATATTCGAAATACGAGTAAATAAACTGTTGTATTGAAACACTACAATTAAACAATCAATCTTTAAACTATATAAATAAATATACCAAAGAGCCGTATGTAGGATTCTAAATTATTTGATCATTGAAGACGGTGGCCAAATTTATCAGAAATTAATTCTAAGTAAATGTAAATTAAATAAAGTGGTCATACGGTTTGTGTAAACGAAATAATCATATGCTTAAACATACAATACACGCACAAACATAATTCAAGCTTTGTTGCTAATCTTGATTGCGGAACTTTAATAGTTGAAATTCACTCAATTCAAATACCAAGCTAGTACATAATATGCACAATGCATTTCTTTTGCTATCGTTTTTCATAGTTGGAATTTTACGGAAATAATTTTATTATAAACTACTTCTGTATTCGAGATAACGTTAGTGAACAAATGTAAAATGACGTTCTTAGACTTGGAGAGTCCTTGACCTTGCTAGTTAAAGTCGTGAGGAAAACAAAACATACGTACCGTGGAATAAACGATAAATCACATGACTCTAAAATGTTCAGTGACTCAATTTCCTTCGGTAGGGATAAAATATACGCTGCGAGAATTTCTAAATCACTTTAAATTGAGATTTTATATAAAGCTGATTTCGTAGTCATAAAACGAGTTATAACAGGATAGTTTTTATTATGAACTACGGCTCAATTGCTTCCAATTGACATGACCTTAGGGACTGCAAAATATAAATCTGTGTTGAGATAAATTGACCTCTAGTGTGGTCTGGTCGGTTGTGTGATGAAATTATTCTTCAGTTGTTAATTGTTAAGTAGGTAATATTGAAAATAAATTCCCTTACCTGACAATAAACAAAACGATGATGTTTAAATAATAATTCGACGTTATTGTTTTGATTAATCCACTTTCGTAATGTAATCCGTTAGATATTAGCCTTGCAAAGTTAAATAACGATCATTTAAGCAAACTTAAAAGTTTAGGTAAATTTTTTTGGTGGATCGTAAACTGGTGATGTAATTGTTACAGAGGTACAAAGAAGTCGTGGGCGGTAAACATTTGGAATTCGGTTCTGACATTTGATTGAGCTCTGATAATTCTAATCATTAAAAAAATAAAATTATTTTAGTTTTAGTAAGTTTGTAAAAGTGAAAGCTCAGAAATGAAACTAGAATAAACTCTATAGATCTGATATACATAGTCTGTAGGATACTCAATTATGTGGAAGCAATTAGCTTCTGTGATTTTACAAAATAATTATATCTAGAATTTGCGCAATTTTAACAATGTTCATTTAGTTTTATTAACCTGAACGAGAAATGAAATCTTACAATTTAATCTTTAGGTCAATTCAAAACTGCTCGGACGATTCATCGAACCATAAAGCATTCTCTCTAAATCAAACTTTTTTAATCTTTCATACTGGAAATACTACCAGGAACTCATTGATTTCTAAAATTCACATGATACGATTAATTTAACGTAATATGCCGGAGAGGCCATTTAATTTTGAACTGACTAACATTTAATCTATAACCTTACCTATTCTTATCGTTCATTTAATAATAATTTTCGTAAGAAGAAGACTATTCTGGGTTGTTCGGTTTTATTAATGTTGAAACCAACGAATTATATATTTTTAAAAGTTTACAACCTTTTCGATTATTTGGGAAGTTTTCATTTCCCCATCGGTCAAAAATGCTTGGTATTATAATACATAATAATATATCTGTTTAACACCCACCACGAGTTTTTATTTGGCAATCGACCTCATTAAATCGATTTACCCAATTAGTACGATAATATGCATGTAATTCTATCATGCGGGCGTTTAACAATAATCTGTAGTACGTATTTACGATTATTTGACCCACGTGAAGAGGCATTGGCAGGCAATGGGTTGCCGGTCCCCCTGTCAATGTCGTCGCCCTATTAACGTCATGTGGGCTGAAGAACATCGGCTTTTGGTAGTCGCAATGGCTATTATTAAAAAACAGGATTATATTTATAGTATTTTATTTATAAAAGATAATATTCTACCCGGCAACTTTTCAGAATATTACTTTCTTCATTTTGTAAATTATCTTTCTCGTAGGTAAATTAGTGAGGTTAATGCCAATCGAGCTTTAAGCGGCTGCCGGTATGGCCGCTCATAAACAACACAAAAGATCGAAGTCCCAGCTGCTTAGTACAGCGGCTGTCACACTCTTTAAAACAAGCAAATAAGTGCTTCGTGGCAAATTGTCAGGATGGTAGTATCTATTTGCAAGTCTCAAGGTACGCCCTAGTACAAAACTACAGTCACATCTTCTTCTTTTTTCCTATTACCCTCTGCTGGGTTGTAGGCTCGAATCAAACTTTCCCGTTTGCATCAGTCTTGGGCAATATGTTCTACCTCCTCCCACGTCGTGCCCAAGATGCCCAGTTCCTGCTCTACTGAGCGACACTAAGTTGTTCTAGGACGGCCTCTCTTCCTTTTGCTAGACACTTTCCAGGTTTGTGCTCTCTTGAATAGATGGGTATCGAGCTTTCTTAATATGTGATCTATCCAACGTCACTTCCACTTAACGACATCTCTCTCCATTGGTGTCTGCTTACAGTCACACAAATAGAAAAAATTGCCGCTTTGATTTTTATCACACAGTATTATTCTTCCGTCGTTGAAGTATGGTACTGAAAATCTAAAATTCTCAGGCCACTGTTTTAAATATATACGTATCACAATTTTATCAAGAACATTTCAGTGTTTGAAATTATTTTCGGTTCGCACTAGCGATTATTTTTCTTTACCTACGTTTTTACCTGCATTTTCTGCACATTTCCGGTATTTTCATTTATCACGTAAATTTATCACAAGCAAAATACCATTAGTACCATGATAGTCGCACAATTATCATTCTTTATTGAATTGTTGTCAATTCCTTTGAGTTTTGGATAGAACATATTATATTGTCTGAATAGCTTAGAATTGTATATATTTTTTTTAATTTACTAGTTATTTGTTTCGATTCATAAACAACTTAATTGAATTATAAAATGAAAGACATTAACACTGAGCCTATAAGAGATACAGATCTTCACGGTGATCAACTTGAGAACGTAGGTCGTACAAAGTAACATGACAACGCAGATTCTCAAATATATTGCACAATATTGAAGGGGGGCAGTACATTTTTAAATTATTACATAGTAATACATTTTAACTAACCCTTTTACGCTGAATTATTTCGTCTGTTATAGATTTTATTTATTTTATTTTACAGCGAGTAAATATAAAAATGCGTTTGTCTTCAGATAGACCATGAACGGCTCCATAGCCTGTAATTTTTGATGGCCTATATAAATAAAAACAAATCAAGACTGGTTCACCTAACTAACGTTAAATAGTTACAATAATATTTTTTTTCATCATTTCACGATACTTAGCAACGGTTAATATATGATAACCTCTCAAGTCAATCTATCTACTCACAATAGTATCCGAGTACGGCTGTGATACATGAACAGAATGATTCAGAAACTGTAAGCGTTCCATTTTTCGCTATTTGGCGACGAAACGGTCGTATTAATGGCCCTCATTACAGTATATTTGAGTCGTCTATTATCAAAGGTGGCAATCTGTGCATTTGGACAAAAAAAAAATATTGATATATCAATACAGATTGATTTGAATATAATCGTCTCCTTCAAAGAATACGGTTCAAAACCTGCATTAAATAAAGGTTAATAGTTAACCTGTTATTTATCTAAGATGTCGTTCCGAAGAGTTTTGTGACTGCCGATGGAATACAAAGCCAATAATTCGTTTTTCTGATTTACCAATCATTGTCCAAAAGTCAGATTGCCGCCTTTGATAATAGTCAACTCATTTATAACAATTTCTTCATAATGGTTCCATTATTTCTCTTTTTGTTTTAGCCGATTATTCAAAGAGATCGCTAAATGAATGCCTAAACACTAAGGCCATATTGATGTTTTTGCGCAAATTAAATTTCTGGTTAAATAGTCGTGACCTTGTGCTCAAAATGTGACTGTCGAATATAAATCACTGTCATCATTATGACATTAACCAAATAATAATGGCCTTTCGAAGCCTTTCTGAACATTGGATATGATCAAAATCGTCATACTTAGCAAATTAATACGTGAATTTTTGAAATCGTTTAACCCAGGTGTATCACCACTATCCATTGATTCGAATTGTAAATTGTTGATAATTTCTGAAATTACTAAAAAAACGTACTTGTATTTATTTTATGTACGAATTTTTTTATTATTTTTTTATTGTATAGATGTGTGGACGAGCTCACAGCCCACCTGGTGTTAAGTGGTTACTGGAACCCACAGACATCTACAACGTAAATGCGCCACACACCTTGAGATATAAGTTCTAAGGTGTCAGTATAGTTACAACGGCTGCCCCACCCTTCAAACCGAAACGCATTACTGCTTCACGGCAGAAATAGGCGGGGCGGTGGTACCTACCCGTGCGGACTCACAAGAGGTCCTACCACCAGTAATTACGCAAATTATAATTTTGCGGGTTTGATTTTTATTACACGATGTTATTCCTTCACCGTGAAAGTCAATCGTGAACAATTGTCAAGTACGTATTTCATTAGAAAAATTGGTACCCGCCTGCGGGATTCGAACACCGTTGCATCGCTATATACGAATGCACCGGATGTCTTATCCTTTAGGCCACGACGAATTAAGCTAACTGTTAATTTGTATCGGTTCAATAATAATATTCAAATAGTATTTATTTAATGTAATTTATTTATTGTATATTAACGGCAATATACACAAACACATTACTAGCTTTGTACCATTCATTATTAGTTGAACGTACTTTGTAATACACACTTTCATAAACCGGATTTTGTATTTTTTTTCAATCATCATACGTTTACTTACGTAATATATTGCTCAACAACAATTGATAAGGCTTAATTGACATAGAACGGAGAGTAAAATATTGCTTGACCTCTGATATCGCAGTGTTAACGAGTGGCGAAAGATAATATAAGACAATGTGTTTCTAGAGTTTCTTGGAACAATGCGTAGGCGAGATAAATTTTATTTACCGATGTACGTTTTAATGTAAATCGTATTCAATCAATAAATACACAAACCACAATTTGACTTATATAATTTTAGTACTTCATACATAATATTAAGAAGCTTATAGAATTTAAGAAAGTAGGTAGTTACGAAAATCGATTACATCATCACTGGGTCTTGTGTGTTATCAGCAAAATTTCACATTGAGTTTAGTGTTGAATTTATGAACTGATTATACACTTACATAAGCAGTTACTGAAGTTGTTTACATGGCTGGCTTGATTCAATCTTTTGTTGCTTTGCCATGTACCTACTTACTATTTTCTTACAGTGTTTTCATAAAAACGATTAAACACATTGATATCGTCATTTTGGAAACGCTTGCTGCATGTACGTTGTTGTTCTCTGCTATAGAATAAAAAAAAAAAGTAACGCTTAATGAACGAAATATTTTCTTTCTAGAACTAAACTAAGTCGGACTATTTAATACGTTAATGCTAATAATGCGTTAATAATTGCAACCGTAGAACATCTTTTAAAAGCATGCTTTGATTAAACATTACAATATAAACATATAATATAAAAAAAAAGATGTAAACTTTAGCGCATTAGCAATCCTTTTAAAAACAAGGTAAAGTCGGTTAGTGAGTCATGTCTTTGTACTTCGTATTTTCAATTGAAGGCTATAATGGTAAGCATTCATTACACGAATAAGGAAGGAAAGAAATCGCTAACCGAACCGAAAAAAAAAATGTTAGGCCTTTAATATATCCTATTGATTTTATAAGATTCAACTTTGAAATATTGCTTATGCATAATTTTAAAAGTACTCTATACTAAATAGCCTATATACCCTGTCCCGTATTGCTGTGAAGTAGGAATTCTTTCATCACAATATGAATAATACTATGTGCTTTGAGATAGGTGGTTGAAAACTTAGAGCAACTAAACTATAGTAGAGAATATAGTCATAGGCGAATATTTATAACGTTGGGCAGCTTATCACTCCTCAAACTGGAACACACGAAAGCTTCGCGGCAGAAATAGGCATTACGGTGGCGTTTACTTAAATGATCTCAAAATATAACTTCGTACGAGTAAGTAATAAAACTAATAATTCAAATCTGGTAGGTAAAACTACAATTTCTTTAATCTTTTATCATTATCGGTACGAAGTATTGGGTTTTTTGAAAAAAGAAAAAAAAAGTTTAAAAAAACTAAGAAAACAAGCATTTACAGAAAATCTAACTAAAAAAAAAAAAAATAATAAGTTTTAATTAAAAATAGGTTAAGAAAAAATGATTTTATTGAAAAAAAGCGTGGGGTGAACAGATATGAGTAGAAGGGTAAGAAGGTTAGTGTAACAAACACTATTTTTAATTCAAATTTATTAAAATTTGTTTTCTATTTTTGATTTGGATTTTCTATAAAAGTATATTTTTTCAGTTTTTTTAAACTATTATTTATTTTTCACTTATTAGTTGAATTTAAATTTTTTAAATTTTTTTTTCAATATTTGATTTTCTTCGGTCCTTAATAAGTATACCAAATTTCGAGTTAATCCGACGTTTTGAAGGAGTCAAAATCATGTTCAAAGATTCCCTTACATACTAACATACATACGTCTGAAACTAAGAAAAGCGTATTAAAAAAAAGGAATATTTTAAATTTAAAAAGATAAAAAGTAGATGATTCTCTGAAGTCGCGTTGGCAAAACGTTAACAATTCATACGGTTACGTCATTCAGTACGTACCGGCTGTTAAGTGGTTAATGTAAAGGAAACAATTGAGCTTCGTTACTCAGAAAAACTGCCTACGCATGGATTACTGCGACTTCAAATATTTTGTAGGAAAATAAAACGGGAGTAAAAACAAAATTGATGTTGTAAACAAAAACAAAATGTGGATAAATAAGACAAAAGATCACAAAAGTGATCATTGAACCGTGATGAAAATATTACTTGCTGATAGAATCAAAGCTTACTATTACTTGGTCAAATAATCGTTTGTGAATATTTCTGATGCGAGTAAATATCGCCAGTTGAATCTATAAAGGCATTAACGAAACGCAAATTGCGATATTTAACTGCGCTGGTAATTAGCTATTATTTCGATTGTATACTAGTACAAAATCAGATATTGTGGGAAAGAGTATGTGAGTTTTGCTCTACTACGAATTTCACTATTTCCATAATCGATTTGCTGATTATTGCGAATAACTAAGTAATTTGAATTTAGCATATTTAAAATACATATATTGCAACAACATTGTAGATAGAAATATAAAATAACTTTAATTCTATAATAATATTCATTGTCTTATATTTAACAGCAACATCTAGTTTCGCAAGACAATTTTAAGCAAAATTCTTAATTATATCATAATATATTTCTGAGAATTATTGAACAAACTATTATTCTATTAAAAATACACACAAAACAAAACAAAAATATAAAAAAATTTTTCAACAGTAAATCACATTTAAAATTATCTGGCTATACAAGTTAGTTCTGGGTTAGTTCTTTTTAAAACACACATACGAAATGAAGTAAAATAGTGTTGTTACATTAAGGTTGCCGTCTATTGACATTCTTCATTCACTTCTACTGTTTTCATTCTCAGATGTCCGCCACTATTCTATTGTAATTGAGACTTCGAGCTCATGTCTTAAAGTGGGCGGTGGTAAATTTTGATAACTATATCTGGGCTTGCGAAATGAAGTAAAATAGTGTTGTTAGATTATGTTAGGTTGTTATTATTATTTTATTTATTTATTTTTTATTGCTTAGGTATGTGGACGAGCTCACAGCCCACCTGGTGTTAAGTGGTTACTGGAACCCATAGACATCTACAACGAAAATGCGCCACCCACCTTGAGATATAAGTTCTAAGGTCTCAAGTATATTTACTAAGATTCTTCATTCACTTCTACTGCTTTCATTCTCAGATGTCCACTACTATTCTATTGTAATTTAGACTTCGAGCTCATGTCTTAAAGTGGGCGGTGGTAAATTTTGATAACTATATCTGGGCTTTTACTCGCTTATCTCCAGGTGGGCATTTAGATGAGCTCGTCTACTTATTCTAAAACATACTCACTCTTTGAGGGTTAGTCTGTTTAATACTTTTACAATTTCGGAATTTAGTCGAAGGATGCATTTATCCAGCTCAAGCCCGCATGCTGCCGTTGGACCTCGATCCCGCTCTGTCGTTCTGCACCCACTTGCTGTACGGCTATGCCGGTATCCAGCCTGACACCTATAAGCTGGTGTCCTTAAACGAGAACCTGGACATAGACCGAACACACGACAACTACCGTGCGATCACCAGCTTGAAAGCCAAGTACCCTGGTCTCACTGTATTATTATCTGTTGGTGGCGACGCTGATACCGAAGAACCAGAAAAATATAACCTTCTGGTAAGTGAATGCGATTGATAAATGCTAGTTATTAAGAGTAGTAGAATTTTCTACAGAGATCTGTAAATATTTTTGTAAGTGTCCACGAAGTGTTTCTGTGCTCTAAAGATATTTAAAGAAAATGTTTATTACTCTTTAGTGTTTAATTTTACCTGAATCGACCATCACGGTAAATTCAGTTAGTTGATTGAAATGGAACTGTTGGTGTTTTTAGATAAAAAAAAAACTTGTTCCATAGTTTATATCCCTGAATAGTATTTTTAATAAAAAAAAAATGCAACTAGTTTATTTTATACAGGCGCTCGCAGTTTCTTGGCGCACATAAAAATGTGCAGGTGTAAATTTGTCACCAACAGAATAAGATTTCAATATTAGGGATAATTATTCGAACACCAAGTGAAAGTTGTCAGATGAGCACATTAAAAGCTTACGCGACTTATTGTGGACTTATTGAATAATTTTGAATCAAAAGTTAACATTAAATTTATTTTTGTTTCGGTGAACTCCCTAATTATTTGTAATCGCTAACTAAAAAACTGGGCTTAACTAATTGAAACATGGACGGAGATACCTTATTTACAATCTGGGCAGGCTCATTTAGATCAAAAATTTACAACATAAATATGAAACTAAGTTTATTTGAAACTAGCGACCCGCCCTCGCTTCGCTTCGGAAACATTAAATTTTATAATTAATTGCTGAGTCTCGCGATGTTACCCGCGGTTATTGTCGTACCGCGAGTAACGCCGCGGGGCGAAGCTAGTCTAAAAAAAGTAGCCTAAGTTATTCCTTATATCATCAGCTACCTATCAGTGAAAGTCTCGTCAAAATCGGTCCAGCCGTTCCAGAGATTAGACGGAACAAACAGACAGATAGACAGACAGACAGACTGACAAAAATTGTAAAAAATATTATTTTGGTGTATGTACCGTATATACATATATTCATATGCACGAAGTAAAACGGTTATTTAAATATTACAAACTGACACTCCAATTTTATTTATATGTATAGATAAAGAGTCATCGTGCATTTAAAAATGATATATAATCGAAATATTTCGTATTTTTGTATATTGTATAGCTGGAATCGCAGCAAGCCCGTACTGCTTTCATTAATTCCGGAGTGCTGTTGGCTGAACAATATGGTTTCGATGGAATTGACCTCGCCTGGCAGTTCCCAAGAGTTAAGCCTAAGAAGATCCGCTCGACCTGGGGTAAGTTTCGAATCATGCATTGAAAATAATCTATTTCTGAGCAACAGCCAAAACGTTCATATTTATTTCGCGCTACCTCAGGTAGACATGGAAATAGACAGATATTATTATTATTTTTTAAATACGTATCGTTAACTCAAACATATTTTTAACTCACCCATCTGAGCAGATCTTGCTATTGAATATTTTGATTTATTTAGCATTTTTATAAGCTCTAAATCTATCTCTAATTCCAATTAAACGAAGAAGAAGGCTCTTTGTGATTTAAGATTTCTTTTTCATAATAAGGAACACCGTTTCTGGCGAGGGTCTCACCGTTTCGAGGTCTCTTTTCTTTACTAGAAATAAGAGACCTGCAGTTACAGTTTAGAAAGACTGACATTGGTGTATTGATGTGTGATAAGTTAATTTATTTTTTGACACTAAGACGTTCCTTATGATCTATTATTCTCATTGTGACCTTCGGGTTTCCGTGGTGTAGTGGTTATCACATCTGCCTGACACGCAGAAGGTCCTCGGTTCGATCCCGAGCGGAAACATTCACCTGCAACGTTTCTTTTTGGTACATTCCTGTTATGTTTGAAATAAAAGTTAGTATACTACTCGCCGTCTTGCGTATCACTTGTACCCGTGCGCGCTAACACAACATTGGCGACGAGGTACCCACATTAAAATAAAATAAAAAATGTCACGCAAACTTGGAAGACGTGAAGATGCAGATTTACACAGTGGCTCATCGCGAACGATATTAACGTGCTGAAAAATACCGAAGGAGTCAGAGACGGCCCACATTGCTTAGCATATTCAGCGGATCTACCTACAAACGCGTAGCAGATCTCGTGTCGCCTAAAGAGGTTCAAGAAGTACCATACGAAGACATAGTTAGTGCCTTGGACAACCATTTCATTCCGAAATCAGTGGGTTTTGGCGAGCTTCATAAATTTTATGCCGCCACATAACTACTCCACAGTCACCATCACAATGGGCCGTGAGGTTACGAGGTCTCACTTCTCAATGTAACTTCAGCAATGTAGAAGAAGCATTAAGAGATCGACTCATTATGAATATGCTGGCGGGCGTGGAAAAGGAAACAATCTACGTGCAGGAGCTGACCGGGATGACCTTCGCCAAGGTAATGGAGCTGACTGAGACCTTGCGCAACACCCGCTCGTCTGCTGCTGCTAGCGCTGCTACCGAGACTGTCATTGCAGAGCTGTACAAAATATGCAAGCGTTCTAGTGTACCTCAAAGTGCAAAAGTGAAGTGTTCCGTGTGTGGTTATTCGAATCATAAAGCCACGGAGTGTCGTTTTGCGATTTACATTTATAGGAAGTGCAACGAAAAAGGGATTTTGTGCAGAATGGGCAAATGGGTAAATTATGTTGTAACCGAGAAGGATGACAATGACGACGGTAAATTTTAAAACATTCGGTCTTTGCGAGGTGAACCATTAATCGAAGCCGTATGTGTCAATGGTATCTATATTACTAAACTAGATTTATCTATGGCATAGGTACTGACAGTTCTGTCTCGAAGAAGAATTCCAAAAATTATAATAACTTGTATCAATACGCATAAATGGATCTTCGCGTATGCTCGTCTGGGGTTCGGGTAAGTTGGTGGGCCGTCAGTTTTCTGCGAGAGATGGATACAGTGTTAGCGGGCTTGGACGGCACGCTGTGTTTATTGGTCAGTGTGCATATTACGGGTCGCAATGTCTCTGAATATCTTGAGAGACCACATCAGGTTCTAGAACGGTTGCAAGACGCAGATTTTGTTTTACAAAAGTCTAAATGTCAGTCGTTTCAAGATGAGATCAATTGATTCAAGATGAGCTTTTACTGATGGTAGGACTTCTTGTGAGTCCGCGGGGTTGAGTACCACCACCTGCCTATTTCTGCCGTGAAGCAGTAATGCGTTTGAAGGGTGGGGCAGCCACTTGTAACTATACTTGAGACCTTAGAACTTATATCTCAAGGTGGGGGGCGCATTTACGTTCTGGATGTCTATGGGCTCCAGTAACCACTTAACACCAGGTGGGCTGTGAGCTCGTCCAGCCATCTAAGCAATAAAAAAAAAATTTGGGGTCTACCATTAATAAAGAGGGGCTAATGAAATCACCCTATAAAGTTGACTAGGGTTGATTACAGACAATTTTACTAAATGTGTTATAGAATGTATTTTTTTTAGTTTTAATAGTACCTATACGTCTTGAACTGTTAAGAGAGGAAATGTTATGTTTGAAATAAAAGTTCCTACTGGTCGTCTTGCGTATCACTTATCCCTGTACGCGCTAACACAACAGTTTTTAAAGACTTTCGATATTTAAAACACTTCAACTAAGCTTTAATACTATATTCGCATGTACAATCTCCACTGAATTTTGGAAAATGTTTTCGTTCGAGCTAATTTAAATAGTAATAAAAATATACATAATTATATTTAAGGATCGCTTTGGCATGGAATTAAGAAGACATTCGGCACCACGCCAGTCGATGAGAAGGAATCTGAGCACCGTGAAGGTTTCACTGCCCTTGTTCGTGAATTGAAACAGGCCCTTATCCACAAGCCTAAGATGCAGCTCGGCGTGACTGTTTTGCCCAACGTTAATTCTACAAGTAAGTTATTCCTGCTCTCTCTCTCTCTCTCTCTCTCTCTCTCTCTCTGTCTCCTATCCGAAATTTCGTTTTAATAATCGAATATATATATTTTTTTAAACATTTGATATCTGTGTATCCTTGTACATCAACTATGGATTGCAAGAATGAGTTACCGATAGTAAAAACCGTTTTTGAAGTGAAAACTTCTTTAGAATCGTTGTGATTTCAAACCAGATGCAACGGAAAAAACGACAGGTAAGAGACACAAATACAAAAATGTGTAGGATGAAGCCAGCAAAGAATGAGACAGAAATATACATACTATTTAATACAGCGCCATCTGTGAGATTTTTTAATACTAACGTGTGTATGAAAGCTCTTGTAGTGAATTTTAATTTAGGATTATACGTGAAATTAAAACATCAATTCACAGAGGGCGCTACCTTACAATTATTTACTAATGACAAAATTTTACATATACTTAAGACGTTTAGGATAGTTGTATTTTAATTTTGGAAGGTTTCACTTCTACCACGTGTGAATTGCACACATGTATTTTTTTTTAATATCAACATTCTCTTTTCTTTGTCTAGTTTACCACGACGTGCCCGCCATCATTAACTTAGTTGACTATGTAAACGTTGGCGCTTACGATTATTACACTCCGACACGCAACAACAAAGAAGCTGATTACACAGCTCCTATTTACACCCCACAAAATCGCAACCCACTGCAGAACGCCGACGCCGCTGTCACATACTGGTAAGTTCATAAAGTTCTTACTTAATGTATGCGATCTTAATTTTTTGCTGATTAAGTCTTTTTAGCCCACAGCGTATTCTTTTTCTTGAGATTACTCGTCACATATTAAACACATTAAGGTACATCAGTTTTCCTGTGCCTCAAGCAAATCATCACTGTTAACTCTTTTGGATACGCGTATTTCTTCTTGACTCATAATATACCTATTAATGTTAATCTGTTATAGTTGTAAATTTCTCTTACTAACAATATTATTAAACTGTTTTAAGTTTATATAGATAACACTAGCCGCACTCGCCCGCTTCGCTGGGCATTTAAAATTAACATTATTATTTATTGTCATTATTATTAGGGAATCCAACACTCATATAAATATTAGCCTATCGATTAAGTACATGTATTTTCTACATGGATACCAAGTTTCAAGTCAATCGGATACATGGTTCAGTAGTTATAACGGAACATCCGTAAAAAACCACTGTAGATTTAAATATTAGTATAGATATTTACTTTCCATAGTCAGGCTATTGTGAACATATGACATGTTTATTAGCTATATAAATTTGACATTCCTCTGCGTTTCCGTATCAAACTTTTTTCGTCTGTTTCGTCTATATACCTATGTTTCATACTTCAGTGGTTACGTCATTACATTGCTTAGCACCATAGACTAAGTTTCATACTTCAGTGCTTAACACATAGACTATTTCAACCGCTTAGACCTTCAATTTGTTTATAATGCAAACGACACATACGCCTTGTGAAATGTTTGTGACAGATGTCCTTATACTCCCTTTTTATTAGGTCAATCAAAGTTTTATTGCCGTGTTTTCCTTCAACGCGTATCTCGGTTTTGACTTTCGTTACCAACGCCACTGATGGCGCTTCTTGAAAAGTAGGAGGCGAAACTTGAGACAGATTTAATTGTATTTAAAGTCTGCAAATAATTTACGACAGGCGGGTATTCTTAAGACAATACTAATAATAAAAAATACACTAATATTCGTAATTAATTGCGATCCGATTTTATTGACTACATGATTTCAGAAACGAACGATGACCTACTAAGAAATCTATAAAATAATCAAAGAAAAAGAAGATTTTAATAATGATTGATTTTTTTTACTTCGACAGGCTCACGAGCGGTGCTCCAAGCCAAAAGATAGTATTGTCTATCGCGACCTTCGGTCGTACCTGGAAACTGGACGCTGACAGCGAAATTGCGGGAGTCCCTCCAATCCACACTGATGGTCCCGGCGAAGCTGGTAAATATTCTTTAGTCATATTTCATGTGGCATTCATTTTTGAGATGTCTATGGATCCCGGTGACAATTTAACGCCACAGGGGCAGTTACCTTGAATGAACTGGTGTAAAAAAAAAAGAATCGAAGACTTAGTGAGCGTATATCTTTAAAATGACTCCATTAAGTTACGACGGCACCTTGAATGTTAAATTTTGAAATAGGATTTTTACAGTTCGATGCGGTACTATTTTGTACACTCTCATGATAACTATTATTTATCTATTAAACTACCGATCTAAACGACAACCTATAATTTTCCAATTATAAGGACTGATGGCATAAATTGCCTATATCTGTCGTGAAACAATTATGCCTACTGATTTGAAGGGTGTCTTAAACTTTATTGAATAAAATCGGCGTCACGTCATGCATGTTGTGAAGCCCATAGGGGCTCCAGTAGCAATTTTACACCAAGTGACCAATGAACTCTGTTTTCCCGACCACATTATAAAATGATTTTCGAAACTGAATTTTAAGTCACTGGTGGTAGGACGTCTTGTGAGTCCGTACTCGTAAGCACCACCCACGCTGCCCATTTCTGCCGTGAAGGAGTAATGCGTTTCAGTATGAAAGGTGGGGTTGCCATTATAAAAACTGAAATCTTAAAACTCATATCTCAAGGTAGATGACGGCATTTACGTTGTAGATGTCTATGGGCTCCGGTAATCACTTAGCATCAGGTGGACCGTGAGTTCGTACACCCATTTAAGCAATAATAACAAGTTGGCAGGAGCTACTGACCAACTCACACACATATGAAAATCTTTCAATATGGTTCAGATATTTTTTTCTACTTTTCTAGGACCATACGTTAAGACTGAAGGTTTGCTCAGTTACCCAGAAGTCTGCGGTAAGTTGATCAACCCCAACCAGCAGAAGGGAATGCGTCCTCACCTCAGGAAGGTTACTGACCCCAGCAAGCGTTTCGGTAAGTCTTTGTCACGTCAAGCTAATACGTCCTTATCTTAGCTGACTTAATTGAATAACACCTCCTTTAAAAATACGCCTTGGCCTCGCCTCCAAAGTACGGCTAAGTACTTGCTTACCGAATATTTCAGTGCAGCATTGTTTCCAGCTCTGAGGAATAAGTTTACGGTATTACAATATTGAAATTTTCCACCTTATGTTTGAAGACTTCAGAGGCAGTAATCTTGTGATTTATATGGACTTCGACAACCTTTTCACGTAGCTACGATTTGGTTCAACTGGGGTTTCAAAAAACAATATGTTCCCGACTAATTTTGAAAATCTGCATTTACCTTTATGTACATAAGCTTAATAGCAATTTTGGCAATCAGCACGAACATTTAAATTTTCAGAGTTGGGCTTAACGAAGGACACGGATTTAACTTATATTTTTGGTTGGTACTCGTTAATGAAAGCTTTCGCTTCACTAATGCTTATTTTATTTAAAAAAAAAAAACATTCGATGGTCGCAGTTTTTTCGATGCTGACGGAAGCAAATAATGTTCAATAATATTTACATTTAACACAGTTTTATTTATTCTTTATTGTACACACTGTTAATGCAATACAATAATTGCGAAAAGTTATAAAATGGCGAGCTTAACTCAACAATTGAGTTATCTACCAGTTAACCGTTCTTAAAGAGCGAGAGCTTTACATAAGTGGGTAGAAGAGTACACTCTAATCAATTTACTTATTGATACAATACACAATAAAAATAATAATAATAAATAAATAAAACACTAATACATATCCGACTATATACATACACAATTACACACATAAACATATATATACACATACATATAAAATATAATGAAATACATAAAATAAATACATATAAGTAATACTAAATCGATAGATAGTGCTCCTTTAATGCCTTCCTGAATACTTCAAGTCAGGGGCTTGCACGGATTGAGTGCGGAACTGAGTTTTGGTGATGTTAATTTTAGAAGCAGGACATAATTATATGGAAAATTGTGTATTACTTCAAAATTATGTACTCGATATGTACAAACTGTACTCTGAAGGTAAATTTCTAGTGAGGGACGTTACAAAGTAAAATTATTTGTCATGAAATTTCCAAGTTCGCATAAAGTTTTGTAAGCGGTCTCTGTTTGGATTATAATTTGGGCCCGGTAAAGGTTGTGTTACCTGGTATTTAATTTTTTATTCAGTCCACTCTTTTAATGTATGACTTCGATTTTATTTTATTTTGGTTAAATAATTAACGAACATATTTAAAATCATAATCGTAAAGTATAATCATGTAACTGCTATATTAAACAAAATATCTTGTGCGTGTTTATATTGATAGTACGTGGTTACGTGAAATAAAAAGGAATGTGATTCTGTGATCTGTGAATCTGTGATTGTGCAATAAAGAGTACTAATATCTCTTCAATATACAAACGTTTTCAATAGTAGTAGTGTTTAATTTATAGTTTTTTTAAAAACAGTTTGATTCAATGCAGTTATGCAGTGCATGTGTCGTTTTGTTTGTATATGTAGTCCGTTATTTTTATTATTACTGTTACAAATTCAGAACGATTGAATAGTATTTAAACGAATAAGGACTAATTCATTTTGTATCACCAGCCTTGCGGCAGCCTATATTCGTAAATAGCACATATTAATTGCTTTGGACAAATCATTGGTAAAGTTCTTTTTGAATTACCTACTTAGGTATTAACCTCTTTTTTTAAATTATAATAGTGACAAAAAAAATCGTCTTCTATAATATCCAACCTATATAAAATATATTTTATGCAAAAAAGTATAATATTAAACAATAAAGATTATAGAAGTATATAGTTATATAGAAAATATTTTAAACCACAAACCAATTAAATATGGGTATTATTAACGTTTAATTCAAGATAATATCTAGTAAAAAAATGTTTTTTAGGAACATACGCCTTCCGTCTTCCTGATGACAACGGTGAGGGTGGCATTTGGGTATCATACGAGGATCCTGATACTGCTGGCCAGAAAGCTGCTTACGTCAAGTTAGTAATTAAATGTAGATTCTACTATGGAAAATTGCAATATCGCGAAAATGCTTTTCGATCAGGGATAAGTAGGATTGCTTGGAAATTGTAAAGAGCGACACAACGATTTTATATTTCTTTGTATTCAGTCTTTAATTTGACATAAAAGAACAAATTAATATCTCAAAAACAATAAATACAGTCCACCCTCATTTACCACAACGCACCAGAAGGACCATAGTTATGTTATGTATATGACAAATTAAATACAAAAAATATAAAATAGTTGCATCGCTCTTGGCTGCTGGATTTGAAAGAGAAAAAGTGTCATGGCGGACGTCGCTCGCTAACACTTTTTTTTACAATGACGTTCAGAAATTGAACAGTGGTAAAATATTATTTCATGTAGCTTTGTGTCTTTACGATTATATTACAATTAGCTAGATGTATTACTTCTGTTCGTGTGTTTGTGAGTTATTTTATTGTATTGTTATGTTTTTTGCAAATACATAATTTTTTTTATTTTTTTCAGGTCAAAGAATCTCGGTGGTGTCGCTATTGTGGACCTATCATTGGATGACTTCCGCGGTCTCTGTACCGGAGACAAGTATCCAATCCTTAGGGCCGCTAAATACCGTCTCTAAAATATTTTAACTTTTATCACATACGTAATACGAAATCATGTATCCGAAATTGTAATACATATAGTGTATTTTTATTATTACAATTACTCGGATTAATTCAATAGATCAATAAAAATATTTAATATAATAGACTAATCCATTGCTTTTATATCTAAAGAAACAATATGAAATTGATATGGCTTATAATAAAATCCTCTTAATTTCAATGAGTGTTTTATTTATCAGCATAACGGACCTATATGAATCAATTTACATATCTTTATTTCAGTATTACATTCTATTTTGTACTTATAAGTTGGCAAGTAGTTTTTTTGTGAAAATGCAAATGAAATGAAATGTCAAAATTGATGTTTTCGCAGTCATCACTAGTCATTATAAAATTACTCTGGTCGAAATTGTCTAAGTTCTTAACAATGATTTTTAGGCCTTTTATTCAACCGAGGTTCAATAAACAGTTTCTATTCGTGCCCAATTTTATACTAGCTCATACCAGCACTTGTCCAGCTTCAAAACCCAAATGTGGAGCATCCGCAGGCAAGGGGGGAACGACTTCTATAAAAAAAATTGATTTCAAACGCGCTGAAAAATCTGCCCCATGTCGATTCGGTTTCATACCTGAAGAATGGTTTCAATTTTTTCACTCAAAAACGGGCGTTACTGGACCATATATATTTGGACTAGTTTTTGTTAATTATCTTGTCAGCAAAGAAATATATGTGTTAGAACATGAATATTACAGTGGGCTATCGTATGTTGTTATTTTGTACTTTATATCGAAAAAAATGGCCCCTGGAATAGGAGCTAGCCTTGACAAAGAAGTAGACGCCGAAATAGCCGAGTGGGAGAAGGGGAGAGCAGATCAAATGAAGGTTTTTGAAACCACGATTAAAGATGCTAAAGATGCGCAATGGAGAGCTGAAGGCCAAAAAATATTGATCGAAGCCAAGAAAGAGAACGTGGCTATGCAATTAGAAGCAGTATATCGAGAAAGAGCAATGCGGTTATACCAAATGGTTAAAGGGAGATTAGATTATCACGTCAAAAAACGGAGAACTGAAAACAAATTACACCAGAAATGGATGATTGCATGGATTTTGGAGAATGTTCATAAATCAATAACAGCGGATTTTCAGAAACAAGCCCTTAATCAGGCGATTAAAGATTTAGCTCTTGCCGCTAGTCGTGTTAAATAGTGTTGTTTTCAATGATTTTTTTTTCCTACGAACCAGTGGTATGTAGTTTTTGTTTTAATATAATAAAGTGTAAATATTTTTGTGTTATTTTTTATGATATTGCTATAAAGTACCTAGTCAAAGTAATAGAGTTGGGTAATAAAATATAAGCACGCTAACACTTTGGTGATGTTATCGGTTTTGTATAAGTTCATTTTATTTATGCACACATTTGCCGTGGTGTATTTTTACATCGAAGGAGCAAAATTAAATACAACTGGTATGTACTCCTGTAGGTCTCCTGGACTTTAGTAATATTTAAGTATAATACCATTAAAATAAATTGTCTAATTATTAATTTAAAGCCAACCAAAGCTATAAAATATACTAAATATGAATATAATAAATATTGAGCCAAGAGTTTTACTACTGTTTTGGTACACCTATAGTCCACGGGAAAGATTTCTTAAAATATATCTAATAGCTGCGAACCCATTTTGAAAAATATGTTAGTCGTAAAAAATTTATACTTCAAAATTGTAATTTAATTAATAAGCGATTGAATCCAAACTTTTTGTATATTATTGGGTGTTGTATGTGCTGTATTATTATGTGTTATATTTATAGCTTAGATGGGTGGACAACGACGACGGCCTACCCGCTGTTAAGTGGTAACCGGAGCCCATAGACATCTACAACGTAAACGCCACCCACCTCGAGGCTTGAGTTGTAAGGTCTCAGTTTAATATACAACAGCTGCCCCACCCTTTAAAACGAAACGCAATTACTGCTTCACGGCTGAAATAAGTGGGATGGTGGTACCTACCCGGGCGGACCCACCAGTATTTATAATTGTATGTAAATTAATTGCGTCGTAAATATTAATAGTGCTATCATAATTTCTTCTGGCAGAGCCTTTGAGCCCATAACGGTTGTTTGTATAGACTTGTCACAAAACAACCATGTGTGAAATTATAATTTCAAAGTTCCATCTGATGTCTCAATTCCTGATACTAGAAGGTATTCTGAATTTAATTCCTATAAATAATTTGATATGCGATTTACTGGTAAGGTATTATTAATTAGGAGTAAAATGGTTCAAGCAGCGGAGATCTTTGAATATACTGATTAAGCCTTTTAAAAAAAAATTGAAGTGTCGGTAAAATATTTTATAGCTAAATCGTAATTAATTGACTGTTTATGTTTTTGAATTACGATAGATATGATATTTTTAAAGACTCACGATCCATTACACCAAATTCAGCAGCAACTTTTTAAAACTTTTAGCATCAGAAGAAGATATAAGCAGTCATGATTGGACAGTTTTGTGTAAATTTCAAGCAAACAGATTTGACTGCACAAACGGCAAAGAGCTTTATCGAAAGTAAGATCTATTACCTACATTATGAAATCATATAATGTTACAAATATAATTTAATATATTATTAATAATAATAAATATTTATACTTATCTGGAAAATGATAAGCTTAGCTTTGTAACAGTAACTATGTTTCGCCGTCTTTACATACGAAGATTCCTTCGTCTACAAAACAATCTAATTAGTGCTTGTGCATAAACTCGCAAATTTACTTTAGCGGCCTGAGTTTGAATGAACACATTGAAATTTATTATGAAATACATGAAACACAACTCTTACTTTTTGTTTAGGTAACACTTTAGTTAGTATTTACGATTTTACTAAGATCACACACAATAAATCAACGTTACAATGTCAAAGACCTCGAAACTCTAAAACTGTATCAGACAAGAACAAAATCACTAAAATACAAGAATCCCTGTACCTTAAAAAATATATTGCTTTTCAATGGGACTCGAATATGAAGCTCAAGACACACTAGCCAGGTTAACTGACCAAAAAAATGAGGCTATAAAATTAACTTTATTTATTTCAATACGTTACAGAGTATGTCTATTTAGTATAGTGCCAGATCAGTAAATGCGACCTTTACCTTCTGTGGAATTGATTTGAATACCGAGAAGTTCATTGTTGGTTTATACACTTCAGTACATTTTAATTGAATGTATGCATTAAAGCAATGAAATATTTACATTAAATTTCCACCTAATTATGATTATTTTAGCGAGAAACTGAAGATTTTGAGTAGACCATGATGTTGAAATACAACAATTGTATCATTGAATTAGGCAGTCTGATGATAAGATAGTGAGGTGAATCATTATGGGGAAGGGTGGCAGAATTTGTATTTTCTGAGTTTTATGAAGTAAAATCTCAATCTCATCCATTCAGTCTTCCTTCATTTAATGCTTTTTTTAAATTAGAACGCGACCTTTGTACTAGAACACACGACTGCTTCTTGATAGAAATATGCAGAATGGTTTTACTGCTATGTTTTGAAAATAAATCCTATACAAGCCAAAAATCGGTGATTCGCACTAAAGATTATATTTATCACATTGTATACGTAAACAAATTTATCACTCTTGATATCAATCTTGATTCTTCTGAGCAATGAGCTTTTGAGCAATATAATGAATTTAACAATAGCCAAAACGTTTTTAAAGTGTTTTGTAAAATCAGAGCCAATATCTCGCTACATAAAAATTAACAAATTTCATACTGTAACCTAAAATTGCATTTACATTCTCTAGAATTGCTTCCACAAGTATCTATATATGCCTAGGTATATGCCTTCATAAACAGCGAGTTGCTTTTGAAAACTCGGGATAGTAAGCCGAGGATAATCTTTACAATATTGAAAACCATTATTCAAAGTCCCTCTTTAGTTTTAGGAATACAAAGCTTTAGTTTAACTCATCTAATGGGTATATTCCAATTGCTGCCGAAGACCAAAGCAAATTTTCATTATGTTCATTTTGAACACGTTAATTGAAAAATAAATAAATACTAATATAGATTAAAATTCGAAGGAATGAAAATTATTTTAAAATTTGCTAATACGTGATCGTCAAACCATGGATGTTAGCGTCTGTTAGAGACTAGCACGTAATTGGTTAACTAAGCTATTAAAATGACAATTCTTTATGATGATGATCTGAGATAATTATAACTTTTTCTCTTAATTAACGTAATTTCTTTTCAACTGCTATTTCAAAACTACAGGTTTTATTATGATTTGAAAATGGAGGACTGCAAAACATTTAATTTTGGTCAGTGTCCGAATAGCATGAATCATTTCGACACGTTAGATGATTGCCAATCGACATGTCGCGGTATGTAAATTTCTAATGATTCATAGATAATATATTTGTTTTATTTTCATGCTATAGTGTTATCTTTCGTCGAACACAAACCAGCGTGGGGTTCATACAATCTTAGATATCACCGTGGCTCTTGGAAAAGCAATCACAAAGTGTTTTGTCTCTCAAATTTCAAAGCAGGCTTGACATATGTATGTCAATATAATATATGAATATATAGGCTCAATTTTGAAGATTATTTGAGAGGTAATTGAGCGCTATTCTTTTTCTAAGAAGAAATCGGCGCAGCATATCCTCTTTCTGCGTCTATTATATTATTATGCCGCTTAGGGATTTGGCATGAGATTTACGATCGACGGCTGGCCTCCTTGGGGATGCTATCGTTGGCCAGAAACCTTAATCGCCTTATACGACACATACTGGAAGACATGGTGGCAATCTAATTCAGGGCACTTGTAAGGTATAGAGCCAGTTACGGAAACATGAAAGATGGGCCTCGAAGTGACTCCAGTGGTATTGTATTTTTTTTAAAGTGTTTATATTTGCAATATAACTGTGAGAGAGACGGCTTAGAAAACCATCGCTTCTAATGTATACAAAATTAGGAGGTGCTATGGTAGCACGATGCCAGGGGTCATCTCCACGGGCCCTAGTATTATAATTTACAAAGCTTGTAAATTTTATACACAGCACAATTTCTTTCCTATTTTTTTCTTCTGAACTTTCAGACCGCGGCCTTCGTCCAATAGACTACAATATATCAGCTAAAATATATTGTCAATTACAACCTGATTTCGGAGAATGCAACAGCTATTACCCGATGTAAGTTTTTTTTCCTCTCATAACTATTTACAAAACATTTATCAGGTTTTTTTTAATTTTTTGTTTTTCAATTTAGGTGGTACTTCGACGTGAGTCATCGAACCTGCCATGGTTTTTCGTACAGTGGCTGTGGTGGGAACAAAAATCGATTTCCCGATTCACAAACATGCTCAACCACATGCATTACCGCTTTACATCTTTATTCTACTTTCTCTTGATTTTAGATGATGAATTATTACAATTTTAATTGAAAAGTTTAATGTTGTTTCTACTTTTTTCTTTTATTTGCCCTTTGTCCTTTTGGTAGGCATCAGCACAACCTGTACACACGTAGTAATTTATTTTAGGACATGTGATTTAAAAGATTACATTATATTTAGCAGTTCAAGGATGCGGATGTGACCAGGTCAAGCCACCGCAAACGTCCTCTTCATGCAGACTAGTTAAGTTTATTTTGTTCTTAAGGTCTCGAGCGATTAGCTTATGTTCTTCGAATTTAAGCAAATCTTAGCGTAAAATTCACAATTTTTTAAAATGCGTAAATGGTTGAATGAGACCGCGTAGACTGGCTATTGAGATCGCGACGCTAATGCTGTCACCCACCATGATGTATGAGCTTGAAGTTTCAAATGCATTTTTAATTAATTTACTAGCTGACCCGGCAGACTTCGTAGTGCCTCAATCGATAACTAAAAGATATAAACTTTTGTATAAAATAAACTTAAAAAAAAAAGGAATCCGTCCGACGGGGGACACATCAAAGGAAAAACAAAATTGTAATTTTTATTTAATTCCGAGCATTTTCATATTTATCTAATCCTATCCTTTTAAGCCTCAATATTATTATCGGTTATTATTATGGTATACTAGCTGACCCGGCAGACTTCGTAGTGCCTCAATCGATAAATAAATGACCTAAACTTTTGTATATAATAAACCAAAGAAAAGTAATCCTTACGACGGGGGACACATCAAAGAAAAAACAAAATTGTTATTTTTATTTACCTTTTAAACCTTCTCTGGACTTCCACAAATAATTCAAGATCAAAATTAGCCAAATCGGTCCAGCCGTTCTCGACTTTTAGCGAGACTAACAACGAACAGCAATTCATTTTTATATATATAGATAGATTGCCCTAGTAGGCAGACGAGCGTAAGGCCCACCTAATGGTGAGTGGTTACCGTCGCCCATGGACTTCCGCAATCCCAAAGGCTATAGGTTAATTACTCTCCACAAGCCTCTTCCGAAGAAGCAATATGTAACATTGTAATTGCACACCGACCAAACAAAAACGATCCACTGTTTCGCGGAAGAATTAGGCATAATAGTTATTACCTACCCAGTTGTCATAATATGCCCTATCACCAGTAATATTTATGAAATCTATAATACATCTGTAACATAATTATAATATCACATAAATAACTACTTTCAGTTATATTAAATTCGGAAATTGGAAGTTTCCTATAGCGTTGTCAATTACTCAAGATATTAAAAAATATATATTCTAATGTTGTGTTGTTTTGATGTTAATTCTAAAAATAATGAAAACCAGTCGTGTCGTTATGTTTTAATTTTTCACATATATGTATATGTGGCATGATTTCAATGTTGCTGTATGTTGTTGATTCATTTGTTGAGCTTTAATACTGTATTAATACAATATATTATCGATTCTCTGCGAAATAAACCTACATCGTTTTTATATCGTCAGTATTTTACCCTGGGCTCCATTTATGATAATACAGCCGTCATATAAGTTGATTCTATGAAATTTGGTACAAAAAACGGCGGGTCGAATGCGATCCTTATTGTTACGATTTATCATTATTCGAGAGAGGGAGAATGGATAGAATCTTTGAATAAAGTAAGCTATAAATATAAAACCAAATAAAATTGGTATCTTAGCCATTACAATTGGCTTAGATGAAAGATGGTGTACGACCATACCACATACCATCATGTGGATATCGGAGCCCAGAATTGTAGACACTATAACGTAATTGTGATCTCAATGAATAAGGTCAAGTTTCAACTGTCTTAGACTGTGGTCGTATTACTTCTGCTGCGAAGGAGTCATACTTTAGAAAACACCTGAAGTCAGCGTCGGAACGGTACTTTAATAAGGCTATGCGTCATGATAATCACCTTATCGTTACCGCTGCTGATTACTTCCCAACTCCTGCCCACGCAGAAGTCAGTCCGTCGATGTCCCCGATACATCTTTACGGATCCATCAGATCCAATAACTCTTTCATTTTATACCATCAGCTCTCGGAGCCGACTTAGGAGCCCTAACCGTACTCGTTGAACTCAACAAAGAGTTCGACGTGCAATTTAACCCATACATCAACCCGCTGGGTTTCTCATCGGATCTTCTCAGCGTGTCGCGATTCCGATCCGTTAGTTGATTGATTCGCGAAGCAGTTGCCCTTGAGTTATTAAGTCTGCTTTGGAGGCGCTTGGACAGCTGTTAGCTAATCCCATCCCTTCTTGGCTGAGCCTTCGCTCGACCACCTATCCTGGTGAAACTGGAAAAGCCGCCGGACAACAAGTAATTCTTCATTAAAAAAAAGAGTCCTGTGTTCCGGATGTTTTGAAATAAGGATCTTTGGTGTAAAATTGATTGCTAGAATTGATGCTCTGATCTCCATGGACTCCGACTGCCGCTCAAGACCTGGTATGTCTTTAAACGTGATTTAAACTTTTATTTATTTTTCTTGTTCTAAATTATATTGTTACGCGCTGGGGTTCGACATAAATAGAGCTTCCACCGAAGTACAAATTAAAATTCTGTTAAGCACTAACGAACACTTTAAAATTTGCAATTCACTTATTCCGCTTCGCTTAAGGTGATCCGTTCGCTATTTCGCTTCGAGTAGATCCGATTACTACCTACCGTGTTATCTCTGCAACGCTTTTACAGTCGATACGACATCCCTAGAATTATCGAGAACATTCCTGACAGGTCGTTACAGGGAGTGTGTTTCCGCTATTTGATAATAGATGGCGTTGTATTTCTAGAGCGTTCTCGATTTTACTAGTTCTTTTGATATTTGTTTCTGCTATTCGACAATAGATGGCGTTACTCTTACCGGCGTAATAATATTCTAAATTATTAGTAGGCACTGAACTAATTTTACAATACTAGTATTTAAATTAGCCTTGTTAAAGAAAATGTATTCCCAGTGCTCAATTACAGAATTAATTAAATGCATCCTTCAAGTAACTTACAGGTTACCTACACCGCTTACTACTTCAGTAAATTGTGTTCTATTTTTATATTGTAAATGGCTTCCATTACCGGTTAAACAACTACAAGAGCAAAAAATCTATAAACGAAGTTTTTATTTATTTATTTACTAGTAACATTATTGTTATATCATCGACCAAACTGAAATAATAATACTGTAGTTTCGAACAAAACTCTGTAAGTTATGCCCATCTGTTCAACATTTTGTTTGCTATCGATCACACATAATCACCTAAAGACATTTCTTTGTTATCAATTGCTAAAAAAACCCATTTATTCTGAAACGTGTTTCAATATAAAGTGATCAGTGTAGTGCATATCGAAGTTGGCTTTTATCCGAGTTCGGGCTACATTACGTGCAGTATTCTTAATGTAGCCTGTTGTTTTTGAATTTAAACACCAATTTATTTATGTTCAATTAGATATTTTAATAAGGAACGTTTAATTGTGACTTTGCTTATTCGTTGCTTCGTGGTTCTGTATACGTAGGGGTAAAAAACATTGTAGCGCTGTGAACAGCGCACATGGAAACAGTTTACACACTGACCAAAATTCAAAGCGAAACTGAACTAGAGGTTCAGTTCGTCGTTATTATAAAACATAATAAATAAAAATGTTTTTAAAATAAGATAATATATTTTAATCTTCACGTCTTTGTTCTGTGGTTAAAATTCAAACAGACCCCATAATTTAATTGAACGACATAACAAAGGATCAACTATTTCGGCCCTTTTGAAATGGGCCATTAGTTCTAGGAATGTCATTGGAATTTTCATGGGAAAACTTTACAGCTTTTATGCCCCTGAATGGTGTATTGAATGTATGAAATTTATGGATCTAACAATGTGAGTAGAATATTGTATGTATTTTACTGAAATATAAATTAAACTAAATTACAGTTTCACGTTTAATTTTAACAAATGATTTACTCGTTCTGCTCGTAAAATGATAGTTAATTTATAATACATAGTTCATGTTCGGGTTCCGTATTTCATATTTCGTGGTTTCGAATAAAAGAGGGGTCGCGATCTTAACAACGGTTGATCCCAACCAAGCTTTAATTTCGGCTGAAGTGAAATCGAGTGAAGTGTACACGTTTTGGCTCTTACACCCTCGACCCTTCTTCGCGGTGTGAAAAAATATACGCTTTCAAAACTTCATCTTGAATTCGGCGAGGTTCGAGTCATGAATATTTAGAAGAGTGACTTAATTAATTCAATTTCGAAGTCGCCAGTTTCAGTGTTTTTGCACCATGCAGGTGTGTATTACACAGGACGTTGTCAATGGTAATTTTAAACGTCTTTTGTGGCTTAATGTTTCTAGGCGGCACATAAAAAAAAACATTGAATCCATTCAATAATTTAAATGCAGTAATTTATAAATTAATTATTTCAGACGTGACGCTTTGACGAAATTGGCTTGCGTCTAACTAGAACTTTCTTTTTATAATTTTTCACTCTTCGTAGCCTAAAGGTAAGTTCTAGGTTCTTCGTAGGTTATCTCATAAGTAGGTGTAGGTTGTAATATCTATGGGCAACGGTATGTATTTAAAACTACGCTTGCCGTGAATATTCGCTTAAACTGGTGCTATAGGTAGAAAACAAACTTTTTGGTTGTTAATAAATATGTACAATAAGCTTCACAAAAACTATAAATATCAGTCATGATTAAGTGACACAAATATGGAAAAAAATTGATAAATAATAATGTAAAAGAATACGATGCGTTAACTTCTGTAAGGCACGGTACCCATTTTGTCGCATAAAACTTCGGCGCGAAATACGAGAGAATAACTAAAGTCTTTGTGTCGTTTTTTCAAGAAAACAATCGGTAGACACGGCGGCGGCTTTCCGTAAATTCTTTTGTTCGGAATGCCTCCCTTTATCGGGTAGCGAGGCTGCTGCGGCAAAAACATCCCGGGAGCACAATTTATGCACGAACTTCGAGCCGTGTTCAGTAATCGC